ATACTTCATGCTGGGCAATGGCGTTATCGTCTACTCTTTCGTGAAATTCCAACCGCGTCAGCTTCCTTTACATCCAACGTGACGGGACCTTGGATTTTCGCACCACTCGACATTCTAGTCGCTGTATCTTGCCAGGCCCTCCGTCCTGCACCACTGACCAGGAAATCCCGAGAAACATAGCCACACATTCATCGAGAGAGAATGCGCAACTAACAGCAAGGACTGCACGACTGGAACTCGGGCTTTTCGTCCCATCCGAACGACTACACCACTTACCTGCGAAACCCAGCTTTGGAACTCCCGAGTTACCATCTCGGCCAATATCGGGATCGATCCCGCTAAATCCTGGTCGTTTAGCCAGCGCCATACGGACTCATACAACTTACAAGATACAATAATTAATGACCTGACTGAATAGTTGATATTTTATGTCACTGTAGTGATATCACAGACACAAAGTAAAGAATATCCATTCGTATATAGCTCTTGGTGGTTTAACGTCTGCTTCCGGTAATATCGCATACACAAAAAACATGAACATTAATGACAGCAGGTTTAACGTCTGCTTCGACAGTAAAGATATCGCAGTAGAAACGTGATCCTGTATATTATATGATTTTCCAATCTTTCCATTTGCAATCTACGACCATAGATTGATTAAATGGGAATTTCTTGTCTTTATTTATAAAGACTTTATTTATTAAACATGTGTTATGGAAGAGCTAAATCTGCCTATTGCAGGCCTTTCTTTAGACCTTAAATGTTATAAAAACTATATTAATTAAACATTTATCAAAATGACTAAACCATAGTGAAGTCTCGATGCCATTTAATAATTTAATTTAAAAATGGTGAAGTGAGGCTAAGGCTTGAACAACCAGTACGGTGGTTACAATCAATGCACACATCTTGTCAAACCTTCAAAGGCTAATATCGTCTCTCAGAATAAAGTAATTTGAATGATATTTTCAATATATTCATTTTACATTATCTAATTTTGAACCAGTATAGCAAGAACGATCAGCTTTTCATCTAAATCTTGCATAATGTATCTTTAAAACATAATGGGCGTTTCTAACCGAATTGCTTCAATTGGTGGTGTATCTCAGGGAGCATTTACTCTTACATCTCTACTATTGGTGTAAGTGTTTCCTTTAACATGATGAATTTATTCTAATCTGATGTTGGTGGAATAGTGTTTAGGTGCCGGATGCGTTTAACCTACATATTAATGGACACTTGAAGCGATATTTATAAGCATCTTCATCCTTGTTTTCGTATCCTACATACTGTAATTCAGCTATAAAAGTGTAAACATTGCAACATGCACAGCGGCCTTTCCTGTGGAAGAAAACCGTAGTACCCGGAGTAAACCTACGAGGTTGAGAAGACACCCCTTTGTTTAAACCATCTAATTTATGGAGAAAGGAGTTATTGGGGAAGGTAGTTCTAACATAAAGCATTCTAGATATATCTGTACTGTATAACAGAGATAATGTAAGTAAGTAAGTCACTGATGACCAATTACATATCTCTAGAGACAATAAACAACTCATTCATCCCATTGTTTAGTCGTCAGCTGGAGTCTATCTCGTCTACCAAACACCGCTATCTGCCACGTTATTGACATTTGTTTCTCGGCCCAAGGGATGTCTATTGTAAGGATAGGGATGTTGATTACACGTCAAGACGTGTTTATTACATTACTAACGTCACCTTATTTTGTCATCTTTTCCGCTGTTACTAAATGACCGATATGTCCATTTCTTTTGTACACGTTTAATTTCGGATATTGATATCACTAATCATGATTTAGGTGTGGTCTGTGGGCGTATTATATATGAAATACCTTATGATCTCAAGCGCGCGTTGGGTCAGCAAGTCTGCCATTAAGTCAAGTGGCGTGGTTCGATTCTCCGCTTGTCTAACCTCGTAGGTTTTCTCCGGGTTCTCCGGTTTCTTCCCACTCCTAAATACCTCTACGTCAAAGAATTGCCGGAAGACCTTGCGAAGGTTCATTTCCGTGGTGAATTCGTGAGGACGTGAGGCCCTCGTGAGGACGTTTTGTAAAATCGTGTCATCTTCGTCTTTACTTCTATGATCATCGGTATCACTGAGCATGTTTCTCCTTACGAAGGTAATATGAAGTAAATACGATTTTCTTAGGAAGGCAACACGACTACCGGAGGCCTCCACAGTGCCGTCATGTAGCCATCGTATTTAGAGTACGATGACATCGAGATTGGACCACATTTGTCATAATGGTAACGTGGACATATAGAGTTGAATTAAAGTTTAATTAAATCTGAAATACAGTTGAAATGTACTTTGTTTTCGCAGACATGTGTTTCCTAAGACGCCACAGAAATATATAGATTTGTTCCAGCTTATTTGAGTAAGACACATTGTCTTTACCGGGAAGCGTCCGAAGTGAAATTCATCCAAAGGAGAAAGCTCCGGGTGCTGAAGATAAATGGCGAACGTGCGCAGTGTGGCCCGCTTTGCAAACCATAAATGCTACGATCTTAAATAAGATTGGTAGGTATATTAGGTCTGACTGTCTGCCCTTCACGTAGGGACGTCCGACTAGCAGTAGCCCTCTAGATGATAACTTATGGATCTCCGACGTTGAGTCTTGGGGTAAACCTCAAGTTTTCACAAGGTAAAACATTCTTTTTGTCCCTCCTGGGTCACATCATAATATCCAGGATACCAATCTCACATACGAAATCGTAGGTTAACCCGTGGATCTCGTGTTTGCTTATCCTAGGATAGAGTAAGTTCGAAACGCCGAGAGCCGTGTTAATCCGTGTGGGGTTCGAAACGCTGAGAGCCGTGTTAATCCGTGGGGGGTTTCCTTTCGGCTGTGAGACGAGCACAGTCTACTAGAATATGAGCTGGGATACATCCGTTCCCCAGCTACACCTTATAGGTGGTTTAAAGATACCATGTCCGAGCGTTTCTTTCACCTTCATCTGTTATTAACCGGCAAATTTTCCTGATGGAATGATTTACATTTAACGTAACGTTTAAGCACTCATCGGATCTTAATCAGTATGTGTTGAGCTCCGCAATGGAGTATTCCCATTCAGAGCTGACACGTAGCCCCCAACCATACTTTTAAATTCATTCATGCTGTAAGGGAGTTCGACACTTGGTTCCTCCAGTTTTGACCCTTTCAGGGCGAGCATATCTGCCTCTTCGTCACCCTCTAGATTTACGTGCGAGGGGTCGAACGAAGGTTTTATTGGGAGGCTACGCGACACCTTGCTTCGGCTGCTGACCCAGTTCCGGGCCATCTTTGCACGAAATTAAAAATTCCATATTCGTATGGTCATCTGGTGTCAATTTCGGGGTTGTGTGATGCCGCATTACTAAAAAAAATAAGTAGAAATAAAAACAAACAGCAAATTCCATAAAGACACAAGGAATGGAACCTAGATAAGCCATTATCAGTTTGCGATGATGTTTTATATAGCCAATTGGATTACCGTTATTGAGGCCAATTTTTCCATCGAATACGTCATTAAACACACCACTCATACCCCAGGCATATGCTGTTATAGAATGCCCATGTGAGATACTCAAATAACCTATCATAATAAACACTGCCTAAAGAAACACATCTTGTTTGAAAACAGTCTTGTTATTTACTCGATCATACAACCATCTGCAATTTGATTCATCACAAAAGAACAAAACTATTATGCCGGCGAAAGCATTTATCTTAAAACACTGAAAATGGCACGGGGTTGCCAATCAAATGTCAAAGTGTTAACCATTTGTTTTTGTTGTATTATTGTATTAAAAGGAAGTGAATTGAAATTGTGTTTAACGTCCTACTTTTCTGCACTAACCTAGTTAATGAAGACGGGTATGTGTAATACAGTGCCCATTTGATCGAATTCCAAGAGTCGAGGGTTATTCATGTGCACACCAGTGAATACACGAACGGACCCAGTATTTCTTCCCATCCGAAGGGCTAGACGTTTCCTCGCCAGGCCCTGCGTACTGACAAGGGGGTAAACGGGGTTTGGAAAATCCCGAGGAACCTTCTCGAACAACAACGGGACAGAAACTAGGACCGCCTGGTCACTGAGTCAGCGTCATAATCACTGAACGAGCTATCATGCCGGGGATAAAACTGAAAACGTTTATCGAGAGTAAGAACAATCATACATAAAGATAATAATCTGAAGGATGATTAATTTGAAATCGTCTGGCCACGACATTTTACAAGACATTTAGATTATCTTACATTGCAATGATGTAGCAATTATTTGACTCCAGACTTTTGAATTGATATAATATCATTGTCGCACTGCACAAATTATTAAGCAACTATAGCATATATCCGAAATGTACCCTAATCTCACTATTTCGTGTCCTATCTTAATCATATAAATTATGTTTAATATAGTTCTTCGCAACAGGCGATGCCCACCAGACCTTTCTCCGTATTGTACTGAAATAACCGGAGTGTTCAGAATGTAGTCCCCGAACATCTACATAATAATCCAATTTCCATCCCAGTCTCTCAATTTCCGTGGTTTCCAGATGCCAGTGGAATAGGTCCCTTGAGAGAAGCCAGATCGAGGGAACAAGGCCACATGTAGTTTGTGGTTAAGTATTAACTTCTCTGTTTAGATTCCTGGATTAGGAGTTCAAGCGATTTAAAAGAAGGTCGAATATGGCCAAAACATATAATTGGATCCGGGCACCCTATTTTAACCAAATCGGAATAAGATCAATTTATACCTACCTTAGATTAAAATGAAACTAGAGAGGGGGGGGGGGGGTTGCACGTAGGGGTCTTTAGTAAAAAACCCACGAGGTTGGACAGGCGACCCTACCCCTTACTATATATAATCTGGGGATCTAAACCACAGCAATTGACTCAATGACAGACCTTATGATTTAAAGCGTACGCGTTAAACCATTCGGCCACCCAACCCTCCAAATGAAACTTTATTGAATCATATTATCTCTATTCATTGTAGGCACCAGGATGTCATTCACCTCTAGGACTATCTGTAAACGTTGAACCACTTGTTGATATTGAGCTATCTGCTCCGGATGGGGAAGCTACAGCCGCCCGCCTACACGGTGATTCAGCCTGGAGGGTGGAAAACATAACTGATAACACATATCTTCAGGTAATATTAATAAGCTTCAATTAGTCCTCACTTTAAGAGCAGACACAGACTATAAATCATAAATAATGTCATGTAATGCCTCAAAACAAACCAGTTCGCTTTCTTTTATGTTTTTATTCTGGATTGTTAGGAGGCTTTGCGACATAATTAAATTATACACAATAGAAAATATCCCCGCTATATGTATCTTCCCTAACTTCAGATATACTTTTCTATTCAGTAATTTCTTTATCATTATCTTCTTATTCGGCATTTTGTATATCTGAAAGTTATTCAGCCAATTTTTATTTTTATTTTATGTCGATTTCTGATGTATATTACCCAAACAACTTCTAGAAAGTTGACTGGGGCCAATTTTCCTCAAATTCACACATAATCCGTATATGCCCATTTATTTACGAAATGGTTTCTTCATAACCCAATAACAAAATAGTTGGGGTGTAAGGGGAATGGGTTCTGTAATAATTATTAATAAGTGAAATATTACACAACGTCTCTAGCTCTATATCCCTCTTTTAGGAATGTTTTTAATATTCGCAAATAATCTGTACATGTACATGGTCCTTTATGGATGAAAAAAGTTTTATTATGACCCAATAACATTACATTTTGTAATAATTCTCAAAATATATATTTTAAGCAGCGACCAGTGGCCATCACTACGTCTTTCTCAATTCCAGGTAACTCTAGAGAAACCAATGTTAATAGCTGGTGTCCAGTCTCAGGGTGATCCAAATTTAGACGATTGGATAATTTCCTTTAAATTTGACTTCAGTTTTGACTGTGAGACTTTCACCTCGAATGACAGGGTAAGCGATTAACCTTATAATGTATGAAGGCTTTTTTTTAATGAATTTTTATCACGAAAAGTCCATTATATACGGTACATTTAAATTGTGTTGTAATTCTATCCAATAGCTTTTAGCACTTTAAGAAAAATTGATGACACCGTGGCCCAGTTAAAATACAATATTTTAATATTTAATGGGTCAAAACCAGCTGTATATATTTTAATGTCACTTTTTGGCATTTCGTTCACAATTTGTCAATATTATGTACTATTTTAATTTAGAGGTTGTTGCAATCATTTAATTAAACACGAGCTGAATAATAAAAACAACCCAAAACAACGTCATAAAGAATGAGCTAGTAGATGTATTATTACATTATGTATCCAGGACATTTACAGATGGCGGCATGCATTCAAAAGACGCCAATATAAACTTGAAATTGTCATAACTTCAGTTAGAATTGACCTTTATTTGTGTCCTTCTTTTTTTTGTTTTAAATATTTGTGTGTGTATTAAACCCCATATTTAAAAATACTATCCCGAGTACAAACCGCGTGTGATTTGAGATATATTTGAACTAAAAACATATTCAAACGGATGATGAATCTATCAAAAATGTGCTTCAAATCCCTTTTAAAACTGTGTATTCGTCGGGAGATACCGCAAGCTATAAATAAGCTGTTGTTAGACGCCATGTCAGTCAGCTCAATTCATTGAGGGAGGGTCCATTTTTCAGAATGTATTTTTTTTCGTTACTTACTGTCCATTTATCATACCTATTGAGGCCTAAATAAATTCTTAGTTATTTTCTGTCAACTATTTTTCCGTCGTTTAATTGCAGAGTCTTTTGTACGTTGACACATCTCACTGTTCCCAAAACCGCCTAATCATTTGATCAAGAAATAACAACCGCTCCTAACCATTTGATCAAGAAATAACAACCGCTCCTTCAGACAAGCTAACACACAATAAGCTACCCTGACATTTTTGCCCAGTGCTTGCCCCAAGGGTGTTTTTCGGGTAATCCAGTATTTTTCTAGTAAGATTGGGGGTCTATACTTTCTATACATACCAAATTTGCCATACTTATATCGGAAATAACCACGCGATAAATACTTTCGGGGCAATGTATCTTTAACTTTTACTCCGGCGTGTTGGGGCTTTAAGAATGGACTGTTCCATTAAACCAATCTACGTAAAAATAAAAACGAGTTATAGTTCGTGTGTGGACCATATAGCATGTATTATTTTATGGGATCTCAGACAATCGAGCTAATGAAGATCGACATTATTTTGACGGAAAGTTTGCCGCCGAAAAACGGCGTTTCCGCCACCTCATCATCGTTTGTCAACAGCCAAGGGTTCCTTTGTCTGCACTGCAGACTAGAAACTTATGTGGCCCAATCAGACATCGATCCTGCGACCTCTTGGACAGTGGCCTAGTGCCATAGTCACGGAACCACCGAACCGCCACGTGGACAATATGATGACACACTTATAACACGGGTCATATTTATATACAACTAGCGGTTGACCCGGCGTATAACCGCGAAACCGGAAGTAGTAGACCATCGCCACCAGGTCTATGTTACTCCCCGGTCAATGTGTAAACGGGACCTCGGTTTTTCGTCCTATCAGAACGACTAGACGCGGTCCTTGACAAGGGGAAGTCGTGCGGGACAAGGAATTTTCAAGTAAGGATATGCAAATACTGATAACACCATGAACACCGCCACCAACTACTAACTAATCACCCGATTAGATTTTATTACATACTTCGAGAAGGTATTTGTTGAGTAATAAAACCTTCTAGTAGTTTATCGAGGGCTGGCCGTCCTTACCGCACGGTACAAATATTATCACCACTAGAAGCAACAAATTCCAGAACAAGCCAGAACTCATACCAAAATGGCCGCTTTATACAAATGAGTATTTAGAGGAATACTAACCCGAACCCTAACCCTAACCCTTTTAAGAGAAGTAAAAACTAAATTAGACCCAAGTTCAGTCTTTTAAAAAGGGTTAGGGTTAGGGTTCGGGTTAGTTATCCCCAAAATTCTCATTTATATAAAGCGGCCATTTTGGACTCCGGAAACACCCGAACCTCGATAAACTACTAGAAGGTTTTATTTGTACCGTGCGGTAAGGACGGCCAGCCCTCGATAAACTACTAGAAGGTTTTATTACTCAACAAATACCTTCTCGAAGTATGTAATAAAATCTAATCGGGTGAACTAATATATAAAAAACAGCTAATAAATGGAGTTTGAGGTCTAACTTTTTCTGACTAATGAAAAGCGACATACGCTGTGCAGTTTGCAACGGGGACAATTTTGCTCAGACAGCGGGACTACTCATGTGATCGTTAACTTGTTTCTACATGTTTCCAATCAGCCGCACCTCGCGTTTTCGTCCAACACGAACAACTAGGCACCCTTCTTGTCAATAACCAATGATGAGGGTAAACAGCCAAAATTGAACGAATTAAAGATACATTATGTTAGATTTAGATAAGAGCTAGCCATTCTTGCTATAATAGTTCGAAATAGATAATGTAAAATGAATAATGTGAAAATTTCATTCACACTACTCTATTGCGAGCGAAGATATTAGCCTTTGAAGGTTTGACAAGACGTGTGCAATAATTTCAACCACCGTACTACGTCTCGCTCCTCCATTTTTAGCTTAAATCAAAATATGGCTGAACTGTTCTAATCTATTTAATATCGGAGAAATCCGATGCCATCGAGAGTTGATTATGGAGTGGATAAGTCAATTAATGTCTAATTATTAATTTAGAAAACATTTCAGGCCTAAAGAAAGACCTGCAATAGGCAGATTTAGCTCTTGCATAATGTATGTTTAAGTAGCATATATGAATTTTTGGGAATGCAAATAAACGATTGATCGGTTTCAATTTCTAAGAGTTGTGATTAATTTCCGTTTTAATATGGTTTTATTCTTATGAATTTTACAACTTCAGCCATTGCTTTATTTCAGACGTACTGGGGTAATCTGGATCATGAAACAACATTAACTCATTTCTTCCACAATATGACTGTAGCAAGATGTTTAAGAATACGACCTGTGGCTTTTCAAGGTTCCGCTGCTGCTCTTAGACTAGAAGTTATAGGTTGTGGTAAGTTTCTATCCATTCGCTTATGGCAAGAAACCACAGTGAAAAATGATTGGCGCAATTGCCTTACTGTATCTCTTTCGTATCCATGTTATTCTGGTTATGACCTTTACGTTAAAATTCACGCATCTTTTAAATGCGATTTTCAAAATTAGAGCTGAAGATAAAGATTTTAATTGTATTCGCCCAGGCTTGGATAATGACATTGTATCCGCAACGATTTAAGACAAATGGCTTAAAGGGGCATCATGGGAGATTAGATAATTGCTTCACTCTGAACCGAGATATTAGCGATCGAATTTTAGGCCTAGCCTCGATCATCATTACTGAAGTCGGTGCGATAAAAATAAAGTTTCGATTATCCATTTTGACGTTAAATGATCCATCACAAAATATATTCAAATCCATGAAATATCGCAGGCTAGCGCTAATGTCCAATTAATAATTTAGATAACATTTCAGGACTGAAGAGAAACCACCTGCCAATAGGCAGATTTAGCTCTTGCATTGTGTATGTTTAACCATGTTTTGACATGTTTTCTTCTACAGATATAGACAGATGCCGGAAAGAGTTGAGTATTTATGAGAAAGAGTCTCTGGCTGATGGTGATCAACTGTTAAAGTTCTTCTCCGAGAAAGTGTTGACTTCTTTACAAATCTCCTACATTGGTAATGGTACCATTAGCGCTGATAACAAACTCATGGTGTTCTACAGCAGATCGTGTGCTAACTTTGAAAAACTTACAGGAGCTTCTGTAAACCCTGTGGTAAGTTTTGAGAAATATACCTTGGTACAGTCTACGGAATTATTGTGACGTAGTCTAAGTAGATAGTGTCCCTGAATTATTGTTACACGGTTTATATACACAGTTTCCCTGAATTACTGTTACACGGTTTATATAGTGTCCCGGATTTACTGTTATACAGTTCGTATAGATAGTGTTCCGGAACTACTGGGGCACGGTCTATGTAGATAGTTTCTCGGAATTACCATAACGTGATCTGGGAATTACTGTCATGTGTTCTAATAGTAAGTGTAGGGCGACTGCACCCCACAAGACACATTTTCTGACGAGACACAACACGCAGAAATCACAAACAAACGTACATATCAGATAGTGTTACGAAATTACTGTGACGGAATTGTTGTGACACGGTTTATGTATAATATAGTGTCCCAAAATTACTGTGACACGGTTTTTGTAGATAGTTATAGTATCCCGGAATTGCTGTGATAGGGTTTATGTAGATAGTGTCCCCGGAATTACAGTGACAGGGTTTATGAAGATAATATCCCGGAATTACATTGACGGGCTTTATGTAGATAGTATCCTGGAATTACTGTGACACGGCCTATGAAATAGTAGTGTCTCGGAAGCACCGTGGCACGGTTTATGTATATAGTATCCCGGAATTACTGTGGTACTAAGTTTCTCAGAATTACTGTGTTACTCAGATAGGTTCTTAGAATTACTGTGGTACTTAGATAGGTGTTCAGAATTACTGTGGTACGTACACAACCAAGCCATCAAGTAATTCTATTTTCGTCAAATTTTAGCGGCCGTTTTGGAAATCGCACAAACATCAACCAAAGATAACATCATACACGTGTATATTGCTCACAAAATCGTAATCGTGGAATATTTAGCCTCAGAATCGACAGTCAAAAATATTTTTGCTATTGTGAGACCCCTAATGTTATTGAGATAGTTACCCGGAATTACCAAATATCTAGACAAATACTGTCTATTTATATTCTATATGAATAAACATCAACCTATTGGATTTTTAAGCTTACGTCAATTGACAAATGATTTTCACACAGACACAAGCATCGTATAATTTGCGAAAACACCAGCATACATCATTTCGTAATCCCTCTTCTTTGCACTTGTGACATATCCCATTTTTATTTGACACAACACCGTAGAATTACTACTGCTTCTCATGTTAAAGTGATAAATTAGATTACATTGCGCATAAAATAGATTTAACTTTGTCAAATTCTAAATAGGCTTTACACATTCAACTTTGTAGTGAACGAGGATAAGATCACGACAACATTAAGACAGTTGCCGAATTCCATACAGTGTCAACCAATAATTCTTTAAACATGCATGTGTGAAATATGTAATTCTAATTTGTCAAATATTCATCAATTGTAATCTTTAAGTGGCATTTAGCGATAGGGAATCACAGTAACAGAACACAATTTTTATGGGAAACATTCACTGGTTTATTCTAAAAGCACGACGTTTCTACAAGTATCCTCTTATCATTATCAAACTTTATAATAAAACCAGTGATTGTTTCCCATAAAAAACTGTGTTCTATTACACATCGATTGATGGATTTGGGTAAATAAATGTACTGGTTTTATAATTTAGTTTATGTGCGGTATAATGACTAGAACGTGGTTTGTATGTGGCATAATGACCATAACCAGTTTTATAAGTGGCATAATGACCATAACCAGTTTTACATGCGGCACTATGCCCATAAGCAGGTTTATAATTATGTGGCATAATGACCATACCTAGGTTTGTATGTAACATAATAACTATAATCAGGTTTATATGTGGTATGATGACCACATCCAGTTTATATGTGTCACAATGCCCATAACCAGGTTTATAATATTGTGGCATAATGTTTATACCTAAGTGTGTATGTGACATAATGACTATAACCAGGTTTATATGTGATATAATGACCATAACGTGGTTTGTACCAGATGAAAATTTTATTATATAAAGAACAAATAAATTTGAGACCTAGTTTTATCAATTCCAGATTAAAGACCCCGGTGACAATAGTCATGAACAGGTTATTGAGATAGAATTTCCTGGACCTGTTCGAGCACAGTGTGTACAGATACTACCAGGTGGAGAATTTCAGCCAGTTAATGTGAAAGCTATTGGCTGTGGTAAGTTAGAGCAAAAATAGCTGTTATCAATCCAGACCAATAGGCCTCTCAGTTTGAGGAAGCTTATAAACACGGGCGTTATAACACGTGTGATCGCCCTACTCTCGTATAAGAAACCAAGTCAGCTTAACTATTCTGACGTATTGGAGTTCTTTTACACATATGAGCATGTCATTTTGCTAGTATAGATCACTTACTACGCGTGCCCAAAGCTGGAGTCAGTGGTTTTAAGCTGGTAAATTCAGACGGCCAAGATAATCCAGCAGATACAATCAGCAACCTCGAAAAATATTTTTAAATTATTGTAGTTGCACTACCTCTACATTCAGATAACAAAGCAAGATTAACATAATCGTCTGAACGGCATATATGGTAAGAGCCATTTGGATCTCCGTGCTTATAAAACTCAAATTATTCTAAAGGAGGCAAGTCTCTAAATCAATATCATCCACAGTATTCGACATTGTAAACACGACCAATTGGTCAATTTAAATCCACATTGTTGGCACTCTTTGCGTTTTTCGCCGAACATAATTGATTAGAAATTACAGAAACGATTGAATGTAAATCAGTTTATATACATTCATATTGCATTATTATATGCGTTGAGTGTCCATTTGTGTCCATGTTTAGGTGCCAAAGAATACAGATATAGCTCATTTTAATGTAACAACCCTATAACCCATACTTATTGAAGAAAAATTTACTAATTTATTTGGGAAAACTTTTGTAGAGTATTCCTTTAACGTTTTGGAGCAAATAAATTAGAATTTATTGTTCCATAATTATACAATTACTACATGATTATTTAAAAACCCGGAATGGGTACATTTAAATTATTAAGAGCTGTGGAGCTGCACAGTCCCGTGCACTACGGTAGAGGATTTATCTAAATGCATACGCAAATTTCACCAAGCAAGACAGCATTTCGTTTGTGAAAGCCGTATTAATTAAAATCGTCGTATGCTTTACTTGTTTGAATCACACGAGTGAAATCCCACACTTATAATGTCATTAAAAAATGCTTTTGCTTGAAGCTAGCTTTGTTTTTTAGTTGTTTCAGGTCTTTCAAAATGCTATAATGTCACTTTTAATTAATATACTTAAACTTTTCTCTTTTTTTTCTATTATTGACAGATACGAGCTCGACTGAAAGTAAGTTTATTTTGTTTTTTATTTTTTAATTTACAATAGATCTGAAACAATGAATGATAAATCGACGTTTATAGTGTAGAATTAATTTTTTTTCTCTTTCATTAACTATGGGGTACCGGGCTCGACCTTGATGCTGACCCAGAAAGCATAAAACGATATGAAGAGTAAATGAAATGAAATGAAATGGGGTTTAAAGTCCTATACTGTTCAGCTCCGAACTGGGCTAATGAAGACGGGCATACGCCATACAGTGTGCTATGAGGAAAATTTTGCCCGGACAGCGACACTACGGCCTACTCTGGCGTAGGCAACTGGGAACAACTGAAAGCAACTGAATGCAACTGAAAAAAGTCGACCTGAGCGCCTCTTACAACTCAAAGCAACTAGTTGCAGTCAGTTGCAGTCAGTTGCACATGTTCAACTTTCTGCAACTAGCGGCAACTAGTTGCAGTCGACATGAGCGTTCTTACAACTGGAGTCAACTCGTTTCCATGGAAATAACATCACGTGATAAGAAACATGTGTCATGTGACCTTATTAATAAGCAAATGGAAGCGAACGAAGACATCCACTTTTCAAGTTTTGACAATAATATACTAATAGAATTGTAGAAAGACTGACCATGCCTTTGGGTTGCTTCTTCTAAGTGATTCGCCATTTTGTTGAACACGTGATATATAAAATAACAGTCACGTGTTCAGTGTTATCGCTATCAGTTCCGAGTCGACATAAGCGCTCCGAATTCAGTTGCTTCCAGTTGTCCTCAGTTGCTGATATGATCGACATAAGCACTCTTGCAACTGACTGCAACTAGTTGCTTTGGGTTGTAAAGTCGACATAAGCCCCGCTTAAAATCGAATTCCAACTGTCAAGGGATCTTTTACGTGCACGCCAATGTGTACACGGGACCTCGGCTTTTCTTTCCGTCCCATCCGAACGACTAGACAACTGTCGTTGTCAGACCCTCCGTCCTGCATCACGGACAATAGCGAACCACGCCCGAAAATATGGATAAACTTTCTTGATGTCTTACACACTTAGGATATGAACAGTTGGCGGCAACTCTGTCCAGCCAAACTATGCCTCCCAGCAAACTGTCTGGTTGGTGCAGCAGATTGGGGCGTTAACCCCATTGCATTTCACTTCCAATGGACTGAATAAATTTACACATTTCATTTCAATCATTATGTCATTCAAGTTTATATTTTCCTGTAACGTTTAAAGATACATTATCCAAGAGCTAAATTTGCCTATTGCAGATCTTTCTTTAGGCATTAAATGTTATATGAATTATTAATTAGATATTTATTAAGATGCCAAGGACATAATAAACTCTAGATTTTAACGACATATAGATTAGAACGGTTCGACCATTAATATGGGGAAACGAGATTAAGCCTCGAAAATACCAGTACCGTAGTTACGACCACAATCAATGCACACATCTTGTCAAAACTACAAGTAGCGATAACTTGGCTCAGAATAAAGTTATTTGAATGAAATTTTCAATATATTCATTTTGCATTCTATTTTTGGATTATTATAAATTTTACAAAATGTATCTTTAATGTATTATTTTATCTACTTATTTCAGTAAGTACTACCAATGCTAATACGTGTGGTAAAAGTCGTAACACATCCGGTTTAAGACGTAAGCGAGTTGTTGGTGGGGCTCCCGTTATACATGGTGATTGGCCCTGGGTTTTGTCATTCCATTTCCTTCGACAACATAACTACACCGATAGATCAGGACTACGACATCTCTGCGGCGGTAGTCTCATTCATCCACAATGGGCAATATCAGCAGCTCACTGTTTCAGGTACGTTACAATAATCATGGGCTTGTCTCAAATTGGTGTTTGTTGACGATGCGTTCAGATAAGATTTGACAATTCAGGAATCCGTATCTTACTTTGTGTCGCAAAGTTAACTTAGAAAATTTTATATGTTGACACCACTCGAACATAACAAACGTCACATATACATGGGCCAAGCATGCAGTCAAAACTGTTGGGTAGAATATATACCTACCCTTGGGTGATAGTCGGAAATACACCACAAAAGCTAAAAAATAGTAACTATAATAAAATAATCCTGATATATAATTATCTAGTATGTCTGAATTCTGTTTAAGAGAATACTTTTTATTATACCTAGGGCGGCTTGCATGCTGACCTCGAAGTCTGCGCGCGCGGATTATAAATGACGGGTGAAAAACATTTAAAGGTAACATGAACATCTCAGATACGAGACTATCCTAGTTTTTATTGCATTTACAACCCCTAGTGTAATCATCTTTACGCTTGTCACAAAACCCCTCTATAAAGTGTGACTGTCGCTGTACGTAACTGAAACTATCATATATTCCGTGTTTTTGTCGCTCTTGCTGTTCAGATTAAATTTGTTAACGGTGTCAAAGCCGTCATGTAAAAAATGCAATTTTGCCATGCATTGAAATATATATTTCGTAAAGACTTTGTGATTACTGTCGACATGATGTCTTTAAATATTTCTAGAAAAACGTAACATTGATCGAAAGGAAAGGAAGAAATATAGACATTCAGAGAAAAACTGCAACGTATATGTCGACAAAAAGTTTGTTAAAAAAAAATATGGCAGAAAATATTTCTAGAAAAACGTAACATTGATCGAAAGGAAGTGAAGAAATATAGACATTCAGATAAAAACGACAACGTATATGGCGGAAAGAAATGTACAATCTATTAAGGCATAACGTCTCATAGTGATCAGTAATTAGGTTTGTTAAAAGGGGCATTATTCAAGAGCTAAATCTGCCTATTGTAGGTTTTTTTTATGCCTTGAATGTTATATAAATTGTAAATTAGACATGTATTAACATGAAAGGACCATAATCAACTATCTGTGCCATCGGATGTTTGAGATTTTCAAGCGATTTAAATACGATTGACGGTTAATAATTTAATTTAGAAATGGATAATCGAGACTGGGCTCAGAATGAAGTAATTTGACTGACATTTGCAATATATCCCCTTTTCATTTGTGGACACTCTATACAGGTCCCAATTTTTATCCGATTTTGACGAAACTTGAAATATAGGTCTATCTCCCAAAGATCTCTGTTCCTTTCGGTATTGGCATGTATCAGACCATAACTTCATAGATTATGGCCCCTGATTGTTCGAAAAGTCATGTTTGTAGCTTGTGGACACTCTAGAGGTCACGATTTTCATCTAATTTTGATGAAACTGTAGGACAAAATGACAGCCCCTCTTACGCAAATAGTGTAAATATATGGTATATCAGGGTTGTGGACCCTCTAGAGGCCACAATTGTGATCCGATTTTGATGAAACTTTAAATTGATGTTTATCACAACGATCTTGGTTCCTTTCGATAACGTAACTTTCTGGATTATAGCCCCTGGTTGTTCGAAAAATCGCATATTTAGCTTGTGGACCCGCTAGAATTCACAATTTATATTCAATATTAAAAAAACATTGAAATATACCACCGTTACACATCAATGAAGGTTGAGTTCGAATTTCGTAAAAATCTGACCCAAACTGCCGGACAAAATGGCCGCTCCTTGTATGCAAATAGTGTAAAAGTATGTAATATCAAGGTTGTGGACACTCTAAAGTCACAATTTTTATCCAGTTTTGATCAAATTTGAAATATATGATTATAATCCACAGATCTTGGTAACTTTTGGTATTTGCGCATATCGGACACTGACGGACAGTAACTTTCCGGATCATGGGACTTGATTGTACGAAAATTCACATTTTTAGCTTGTGGACCCTCTAGAGGTCACAATTTTTTATCCAATTTAAAGAAAAACGTTTAAATTTACCACCGTTACACCCTAATGACCGTTGAGTTCGAATTTCGTGAAAGTCGGACCGAAACAGCCTGAGAAAATGGCCGCTTCTTGTACGCAAATAGTGTAAAAGTATGTAATAGCAAGGTTGGTATTTGCGCATATCAGACACTGACGGACAGTAACTTTCTGGATCATGGGACTTGATTGTACGAAAAATCACATTTTTAGCTTTTGGACCCTCTAGAGGTCACAATTTTTTTATCCAATTTAAAGAAAAACGTTTAAATTTACCACCGTTACACCCTAATGACCGTTGAGTTCGAATTTCGTGAAAGTCGGACCGAAACAGTCTGAAAAAATGGGCGCTTCTTGTACGCAAATAGTGTAAAAGTATGTAATAGCAAGGTTGTGAACCCTCTAGAAGTCACAATTTTTATCCGATTTTGATGAAACTTAAAATATATCTTTATATCCCAAATATCTCAGTCCATTTCGATATTCGCTCACTTCTGGCCATAACTTACTGGATTATGGCCCCTGATTGTACGAAAAATCGCTCTTTGTTTTTGGCTTGTTCGCTATCCATCCCTATTATATCGAGAACTGTTAGTTTGAGCTTAGGATTCCTTACAGTACAGATATGTATTTAGTACACTGTCAGCTATAATTTGTTCAAAGTTGAAGAACTATAACATTTTGACTTCAGTGGTGCACGGACGATATAATATATTTTGTCCAGATATAACCTTTCTTTTCTTTTTTTTTTGCAACAATATTTTATTCAACCTGCATTAATGTCTAGATTACAATGTCTTTAAGCGACTGTCGCGTTCTTGGGACACAAATTCTAACCATGTTATTTTTAACATTTGGGTACTCTTTATAGAAACATCTGCATTGTGGAATGTTTATTTTGCCAACTTCAATTAATTTATTGTATATTTTCTGTATTAACGTCGTAGGTCATATACAGGAAAACTGATAAGTTTTATAATGTTCATTATCAATGGTCCAACGGGCCTTAAGTTTCCTTATGCAGTCTTAAATTAAATCATGTTCTCACGACAGAATTTCATACAGCTATTTACATGTGCTATTATAAGAGCTGCGGATTATACCATGACCATTAATTATGTAATTTGTGGCTTGTCTTATGAGGTTGTTCAAATTAATGATTGTTGATGGGTCAGTGTTGTGGAAGCCACTGTTGCTCAGTGAGTCTGGCGCTTTCTCACTAACCAGGAGGACCCAGGTTCGACCCCCACTAGTCAGTCTGTTAGCTAACGGATATTGAAATTGACTTTCCTTTAAAAGAAATATAACGGACCGTTAACAAACGACACTTTAGCAAGATAACGATCGGTTAGAGTTTAACAAATCCTTAATACAACAGAGTTTTGATCAACCTGATCCTAAACGTTCGATCATAATAGACAATATATGATAACTGAAATTCAACACAAAACAACCTAGACACGAAATCAGCAGAATCAGTACAATTAAATTAGACATGCTGTCACAGAATAGAGATATTAATGAACCATTCATAAACCATAAACTGTTGAAAGTAACGAATCACGGTTTGTATGGAACAGGAACTGGGTCATAAACGCTTCTCATTTTCTTGTTGTTCTTTTTCTTGGGGGGCGATGCTCTTCGAACAAAATCTAAGGCCCCGCCAATTCAAACACGATGGACTTAACTCGTGTCGTGCTTGTGTGTTTCTTGGGCAATTGCGCATCGATTGAAGAACTTTGATACCATCATTGCGGTGATGAAGTTATAATCGGCTCCTGGGTCATAGTAGGCCTACACTCGTATAGGTGTGGGAAAGCTTTTTTTTTTAACCTTACCATAGCTTTTTGTTAAATTTACGTTAGTTTTGGCTTTGGTTTTAGTAATGATGTGTACGAAGGATTGGATGTTACTGATAATTGGCGAGTAGCTTTAGGTGAAAATGACCAGACAACCAATGATGGTACAGAACAGATCCTGGAAATTGAAAAAATCATAAAACACGAACGGGCACAATGTAAGTATCACAATATGCCCTTTCGCTTTCAAAAGAAAATTAAGGTGATGTATGTAAATGGCCTCTATTTAGTCGCGATCACCCAGCTTTCTCTCTCTGTAAGCGAATGAATTAAAACGAGTTAAGACCCTACTTTCCTGCAATAATCGGGTTAATGAAGACGGGTATACCCCACGAATTGTAGTGTAAGAGAATTTATAACGAGACAGTGGCAGTTTTGCTTACGCCTTTTTCCTTGCCAGGCCATTTATTTGCACAACCAAAGGCGGATCTAGTGGGGGTGGGGGCACACACGGCGCAACCGGCGCCCCCCCCCCCCCCCGCCACACACACTATATCTGGATCCATGAGGCGCACTTTAGAACCGCACTTTAGATCACGGTAAAATGCATTTCCGGGCTTCTGGTTTTCGAAATTTTCATGGTTTCCCGGTCCGCCCTTGACCACAATGGACCTCCGGAAAAGATGTTTGTGATCCAGATACCCCTGTCTAGGTTCCCACTGTCGTGCGATGCGTTACGATGGGATTGATCCTACTGAGTCCACGAAGATACGTTGGGATACGTTTCGATACGTTCAAGACATACATGTATGTTAAGACCTGATAGGATCAGCACGATTAATCCACGATTAAAACCAAGATTTCAATCGTAGCGCGAATCATGATTGTGGGAACCTAGCATATGAATATACATATGAATACTAACCTTGACAGTTGAAAAGTGATGGCAACATACACTGTAATCAGATATAATCTACATGAGTTGCAATCATGATAGTGATTGTCACAGGTCAACTCATGAGTTTATTTTATCTGAGAATATTGGTCTATAACGAACGGGTAAAATAATCATACTCTTATCATTAATTGATATAAAAATTGTCCAGCCAGATAGCCTCAAATTATGCAAACACATAAACTGAGATATTGTTCTGGCAGTCTGAACAATTTTTAAATTATGACAATAGACCTGTAGACCTAAACATTTATTTCTCAAACTTGAAAAACTTTCCCCAATGACTGCTGTATTTGGCAAAGTAAATCAACGTTACATCCATTTGCATAATATACGAAGTGACAGGACTCGACCTTATGGCAGACCACGCTTTACTTCTAGCAAACACTTCTTGATGTACTTTAATGGATGAAAACATGGTTGACTTTGTATTTATTTTGTTACAGTTAAAGAATTCCCGCTTCTGTATGATATAGCACTGATCAAACTTAAACAACCTGCTGCCTTGTCAGACTATGTTAATGTCGTATGCTTAGACACAAAAGGGGACTTTCCAGAAGGCTCACGTTGTACGGTGGCCGGTTGGGGTCAGGATACAATGGGTGAGTAAATCGTTTTGATAGTATATAAATTTGGAATCAGAGGCCATCTGTAGGTCGAGTTCGGTGATTATTGTACTCAAATTTAATGATAAATATTGCCAAACCAAACAATTACTAGGTTTTACGGAGCACACGGCGTCTAGTTGTTTGGATGATACGAAACCTGGTTGCCCCGTGTGCACGTAAAAGAACCCATGACAGAGTTGGAGAGTAGGAGGTAGCACCGTTGTCTGGGCAAAACTTATTTCATATCACACTGTATGGCATTTGCCCGTCTACATTAGCCCTGATTGGGCAGAAAAGAAGGGGGTTGGGATGGCCTAGTGGTATAGAGTGCCGCACCTCGACCTCTAGCTGGTCGGTCACCTCTGTGTTTTCGATACCTGGTGTGAGCGTATGTGGCTTGGAGATAGGGGAGCCTTCTCAACCTCGTGGGTTTACTCCAGGTACTCCGGTTTCTTCCCACAGAAAAGACCCCTAAATAAAAATCAAAAATAAGACTTGTCTGTGATATCACCTTCGGTGGAAGCGGACTAAGAACAACAACAGAAAAAGAAGGACCTTAAATTCCATTTCATTTCATTTCATTTCCGGAAACAGCAAGCCTACCTTGCCCGGGGAGCGACAACGTAATTACCAGAAAAAAAATATATGTCAATGACAAACATGGCAGTAGTTTAGACAATTTTTTTAATGAAATAAAATGGGGTTTGAAATGAAATGAAATGGGGTTTAACGTCCTACTGTTCAGCTCCGATTGGGCTAATGAAGACGGGCAGTATAGCTATCTACATTGGCAATAACTAGATCCATTTGTAACTTTATTTTATTTTTGAACAGAAACGCCAGGAACTAAACTTCCGTTCAAAGCTATTTTACCCATCGTGAACTCGACACAATGTCGCGAGCAGTATGATTCACTGCCTGGATTGGATGTACGAATTGATGACTCGGTGTTCTGTGCGGCCTCTGAAACAGGTGGTCGAGATGCCTGTTGGGTAAGTTAATTAGTAAAAGATTAAATTAACAGTGTTTAAACTAGTCTATATTACATCCTGGAGATAAGTATACAACGTAGAAACAGTCATTTGACATTAATTACAAATTCAGCGGATTTAGAAAGAACATTAGTTAGTATTTCCGTATGTGAAAATAAATTGAGATACAGATCCTTTTGAACAATTTTACATCAATCGTTTTGTAATGCTTGGGTACTACTGTACTACCGATGGAAATTGATGATCTTTGGGAGGCGTCGGGAACAGGGAAATAGGCCGCGGAGGCATCTCCAGGGCTTTCCAGATCCACGGGGAAGCGCGAAATATTCCCCCCCCCCCCCGATTCAAATATTCTCGAAGGTCCCCTGATACTTAGGCGAGACACCAGAAACATTAATACTTAAAATATATAAAGACATCTTACATATAATATGGAACATCAATTATTATCCTTTTTTGTTGCTATAGAATTGGTAGCTTTCTACCTCTCTGGTAGAAGCTTTAATGTTAACAGCAATCAAACTAATTCAACGCCAGTCGATATAAAGTTTTCTGTTCATCAAGGTAGTATAAACGGTCCCATTTTCTTCACATGATATTCTGGAGTACGTTGTTAATGATGGCCTTAATCTTGTTCTATATGCCGGTGATCATAACATCTACGGTAGTTTTAAAGCTGACGAGATCTCGTCGGAAATGGATACGATCTCACTTTTGTCTTCCACAATGGATCACATTAAACATTGGATGCTTAGCAACCGGCTTAAAATGAACGCTGATAAAACAAAGTTTATAGTTTTTGGTAGTAACAGATGCCAAAATGTACAACAGAGATTAAAGTTGAAGATGTTCCTGTCAAAGATCAAACTTTGTTAAGATTCTCGCTGTCTCAATGGATGAAAATCTCAGTCTCTAAAAACATATCCCAATGAAATCACGAACTGCAGCAATATCACTATTCAATATCAAGAAAGTAAACCGCTACCTTGAAAATAGGTACTTGTTTAACACTTACTAATGCTTTGAGTTTCTCTCATCTGGACTAGTGCAATAGTCTCTATACCAAAACATACCTTGTTACCTCTTCAAAGAATACAAAACCACACAGCAAAAATGATCCCCGGACAGTCAAAATACGCAAGTTCAACAGATGCTCTGAAGGAACTTCATATTTTGCCTATACATGCTCGTGCAGAATATAAACTACAGCTTCTAGTATATAAGTGCTTAAACAATCTCGCTCCCCAGTACTTGATAATTTTCTTAAACCCAATCCTAATCGATATTCGACACGATTTTTTAACAGCCAGTCATTATTCGTTCTACGAAAAACATTTACGGACAGGTCCTTCAGTGTTGCCGGCAAGAAAGTTTTAAGAAATCACTAAAAACCTATATCTTTCAAGGGACCTTCACGAATTAAGTATTTATTAGTATACTCTATTTATAGTTATGAGTACCTGTATGTACATAATAAATTATTTATTTTATTAATCGTACGGAGCCATGTGACCCGTCATGGCATAATAAGTCGCAATAAGTTTTGAAAATTGAGTTATTGTTATTTACACATTCTACAACTCAATAGCTTCAATTTGATGTATAGTTTGTTTAAATCGGGCAACAATTGACCGAGCTCAAAATAAGTTTTGAGAAAAATAAAGTCAAAGATTTGGTATGTTTCAAAACAAAATCCAACAGCTGTTTTGTCGTTGAATATTGTTTTCTAGAGGTTTTCATGGGTGCTGAAGACGAAAATTGTAGTAAAAAATTGATCCGACAATTTCCGCCATCTTTTTTTCAAAATGGACGCCAAAATGACAAATTTTCGAGTTTTCACAAGTTATGTGTTTATTAATGTCATTATATTGGTTTTTAGGGGTGCTACATCAAACAAATTGCAGTATAAGGGTCAATCCGATAATACCCGCCATTTTGTTTTTCAAAATGGCGACCGAAATGATAATCGTCGTAGTAAAATTTTATCCGACAATATCGACCATTTTAGTGGGGGTGGATGGCCGAATGTTTAGCACGTGCGTGCTATATCATAAAGCCTGTCATTGAGTCAACTGGCGTGGTTTCGAATCCCCGGTTGTACGTGACAAGGAGTAGGGTCGCCTGTCCAACCTTGTGGGTTTTCTCCGGGTCCTCCGGTTTCCTCCCACTGCTAAAGACCCCTACGCGCAAGCGAATTATTGAAATAAAATTAAACCATATGTTAGCCCCGAAATGACCTAGTTTGTGTCGAGTGGACGTTTAACCCCATTTCTCTCTCTCTCTCTCTCTCTCTCTCTCTCTCTCTCTCTATCGACAATTTTGTTTTATCAAAATGGCGACAAAATTGATAATTCTGTTTTTTTATTTCGCCGTATATTTGTAACCGTCTGGCATCAGGGGTCGACCGGACTGTATCCTCCATCTTGTTTTTCAAAATGGCCGCCAAAATGGCAATTATTGGAGTTCTTATACTTGATACTCTATCGTGTAATATATCATTTTAGAGGTTATCGGGGACATGAATACGAAAAATATGGTTTTGGAAAGATACAACGAATATTTATCATTTTACATATCCAATACACCTTAAATGAAAGTAGTTATTATAGCCATATATACTATGGAGTTTTTCGTATGTCACGGTTACGATACCAATGTATAGATACATTGTAAATGTAAACAAATGCTATTTACAGTGGATATAATTGCATTATGAGAATTTAATTTATTAATTCAACGGGCATGGGTGACTGTTTAACGTTCGAGAATGGAAAAGGTTGATCGCGAGAGCTCTCAGTTAGTTGCAAATGAATTGAATGCACTGCAGTTTTTAGAAAAAGCCAGTTAAAGGTGTCGGTATGTTCTAAGACAATATCACACAGCAACCATGCAATTAAATCATTCGTTATTTTCTTCTTTAGGTTTTCGTAGTAAATGCACTCTTTTCATAACAAAACATCCACAACAAATGCGGCATATTCGCATTTCCTATGATAGCGTTCTAATTTAGAACAATCTATACATTAGTAGTCTAAGTTTGTATATTATAACTTTGGTGAGACTAACTTCAGTCAGTTAATCTCATCAATTAATTAGCACCTTGGTGCCAGTGGTCAGAAGATTAAGGTTGTTGATTGGGTAATCATAAGATTTTGCGTGTACAATAGGTCAGTTGTTATTTTCAGGTACCGTAACAGTATCAAAATATGAGTCCTTAATAGATTAGAAATTTCAATTTCATTGACATGAAATGCTTATGTTCACTTTCGTGCATTTTGGAGGCGGTGAAATTAAACAATAGCAGATTATTTTCCCCACTCGAGAATCGTCGCGTTTCGTCTCGTTGGTCGTTCTCATTTTTCCGACCCACAGTGATAATAGAATTTTAAACAATAATATCCAATGTACATTCTTTACTTTGCATGCCGTATGAAGAAGCGACAGTAAACGGAATTCAGCTATCAATAAAATTCTCTTCGGAAAGAAAATTATTGGCTATTTTGTTTATTTCCATTTAAGGTCTATAAATTATTTTCTAACAGACGAAACGAGATATTAAATAAATACCGCTTTGATTAATTATTTGGAGTAAATAATGTGTTGTCGCTTGCCTTATCATTTCTAATTATCAATCAACTAATCAATAGCAGTAATGAGCGTTATATTAAATGTAATAAACTTATTCATTTCCAGAAGCTTTGTTACCACAGCCGAAGCATCAATGAACGTTCACCGAACCATACCCGGTGCATTATAAGCGCCTTTTCTCATGAGATTACACAGATTTTTTGGACAAAAACATCGCGAGCCATCGGAGAAAATTTGTTTGCTTCCACATCGACGATGATTTTTCCCCAGTGGAACCTAAGCATTAGAGAAAGTGGAAGAAATGGGGTTTAACGTCCATTCAAAATACACTAGGTCATTTCGGGACCATAACATTAGTTGGACTGTGTATAAGTACCTTGGGCCATGGGAGGAACTTGTAAACCCCTTAAGGTTATGGAGGCGACCCTACTCCATGTCACGTAAAAGCTAAGAATCTAAATCCCTGAATCAATGAATACTCCTTTGTCACTTACGAGTTAGGGACTCAAAGCATTCCCCTTTACTCAATGAAAAACCTGTGTTCTAAAGAGCGCGTTGACAGTTGAAATTTGATGAAAAGTAGGCGACAAAATTCCCTCGCACCATATGTCCATATTCATTAGCCCAGTTAGTGAAATGTGGGATGTTAAACCGGAAACCCTATTTCATTTAATATAGATATTCTGAGCTTTTTTATATTTAATTTCCTATAAACATCAATCATTATACAGCCCAAAGCTTAACAACGAATTATACTAGTAATCTGGTTATGTCCGTAACAATTAGTGTGTGATACAAAGCTAATATTTTTTTTATAAACTAATGTCGTACAAATTAATAACCTCTATGACTTGTTAATCTCTTTTATACTTAAGGGCATAATACATAAATCGCTCCATTCTGTATTTATTCTTCATAATTGCTTTAAGACTTTTTTCTCTTGACATTTATGCTATTCGAATATCATCCATTTATGTTTCCTCTAGCTAAAATTACGTAGTAAAATGTTTTGACGTCAATGAATTTACGGCTCTGTGTTATTATTGTTACTAATTCTGTACCGGACTCAACAATTGACTCAATAATTTACGGTTTGTTTGGAATAATGTTATAATTATTGACATTGATATAATATAGGTGAATTAAAGAGTTAAGAGGACAGCCCTGGCGTTTGTTTTGGTACGTGACAAAGTGTGTGGTCGCCAAACCAACATCGTGGGTTTTCTTTCTCCAAGTCCCCCGCTTTCCTCCAACTGCTATAGAACCAGTTATTGAAAAAGAAATGTACCATGTCTTGTTAAGGAAATGGTTTAGTTTATATTGAGTGAACGTTAAACCTCATTTTTAATGAAGGTTGGCATAGGCTATGTAGTGTGCTATGGGTGTGTGTATGTGGGGGGGGGGGGGCAATTAGACAACCTACTCTTTTTTTGATTTCTAATTTTTGGGATCTTTATCGTACCGCCAATGATATAACCGGATCATCATGCATAATAGGATTCTTATATAGTGCTAAACCCCAAACAAAAAATTCTCCTCAAAGCGCACACACATTTTGGAGCCACGGTGGCTAGGTGGTTAAGACGCTGGATCGCTAGCCTGGAGGTCGGGTGTTCGATCCCTGCATTGGCCGAGAAAGTTCATCTGGATTTTCCGACGTGGTTTCCCCTTGTCAGTTGTGCAGAACGGAGGGCCTGACAAGGACAGCTGTCTAGTCCTTCGGATGAGACGAAAAACCGAGGTCCCGTGTATACATTGGAATGCACGTAAAAGATCCCCTGGCAGTTGGAATTCGATATAAGAGTAGGCGATAGTGCCGCTGCCCGGGCAAAATTTCCCTCATAGCACACTGTATGGCGCATGCCCGTCTTCATTAGCCCAGTATAGGAGCAGAACAGTAGGACGTTAAACCCCATTTCATTTCATTTCACAAACATTTTATCGTATTGATAAAGTTGGAACTGGTTTTAAAGCTAACGACTACTCCAAAATCGCTGAGCTGAAATGTCAAAAGATTTATGAGGGACATTACATCTATTTTAAATTGACCTTTTAAGCACTATAATATTTATATATAATATTTGTAAACGAGAGAAATATAAAACTTGTCAGGAAGTTGCAGTTTTAATTTTAAGCTTTTCTCAAATATACGGCCTCAGCTTATTTCAACTAAAATACATATTTCTGAAGGAGATTATATCGATTTTAGATTTGATATTTAAGCATCCTACACTTAGGTCTAATTTAATCTTAAAACTGTTGACAGGAAAAGATGTAAAAGGCCAAACAGTATAATTATAGTTAGAAATGCTAAATAAAATCACTGTTTTATCTTATTAACAATATTTATTACACATTTAATGTCTAAAATGTCGACCAATTTTTTAATAAAATAAGTTATTGAACAAATATATAAATGTCATTTGTCGTTGAACAAACCTTATCGATTGATGAATCCAAAAACAGAAGGATAACGTTGATTCCTGTCAGTGATAAAATTTCGTTTTATTTCTAATATGATTTCGACATTTGAACATAGTGGCATTCCCAGGATATATTTTCCGAAACCCCACGTTAAGCCGGCGTCACACTGCCCCGAAATTGATACCAGATGGACACACGATAGAGTAAATACTCAAATTCGGCCCTGATCGTAAAATCATCGGGTCAAACGTGAGGGCATCTTAAGCTATCGTATGACCTCTTGTGGAGTTTCTCGGGCTCCGGTAGCAACTTACTGAGCGCTGGCAAAACCTTGCGAATGTCCATTTTCGTTTTGAATCCGTGTGTCCATTTTGTCCTTCATAAGACCATCGTGAGGGCATCTTGTCAAATCGCGTTGTCTTCGTCTTTACTTCGTCTGATCATCGGTGCCACTGGGTTTTCTTATACGCCCACATGTTTATGTGGACCTACATGTATATTGTAGTCGCCGCCCCTGTCCGTCTGAACGTCCTTCTACAATTTGTGTCACAATCTTTATACGATTTTGATGAAACCTGAAATGTATGTTTATAACCAAACAATCTTGTTGCCTTTCGATATTCGCGCATATCGGATTGTAACTTCATGAATTATGGCCCAAAATCGCTTATTTAGCTTGTCCTCTATCCATATCTTGCAAAATGTGGGTGTATTTTGCATGGCAACCGCTTGTTCTCCAAACGAACACACCATGAAGTAAACAAGAATCTGCCCGATTGACTGAGGGGGGCAACACGACTACGTGAAGCCCTTGCAATGCCCTGGCGATGGCCTTATGAAGGGCAAAATGGGCAAACGAATTCAACACGAAAATGAACAATTCGAAGGTCTTTCGGCAATTTTTTGACATGCCAAAGATTTTCCCAGCGCTCAGGAAGTTGCTGCCGAAACCTGAAAAACTTCACTGGCGGGTCATACGATGGCTTTAGATGCCCTCACGAATTGCTCGATGTTTTTCCGATCTGAGCAGAATTTACTTTATCGTGTGACTATCTGGTGACGCCTGATAAAACATCTTCCTGGCCTTCGTGTAACCTGTATTACCTTCGTGCGTGGTTTGGAAGTCATCGTGTGACCTCCTGAAGGCATCGCACTTGTTTCAGCTGTTGATTGCTTTTGACCAAGTTCGGGGCCATCTTCGCGCAAATTCAAAATTCTTCGTATGGCCATCTGGTGTCAATTTCGGGACAGTGTGACACCAAAATTTTTTTTTAAAAAAAGAAAAGAAAAAAGGAATGGGATCAGTAGCCCAAATCTTGTTATCACGGAGCCATGGATACTAAAATGGACACCCTCTGTTAACCCTCGCTTAGTTCCATCCTTTCAACCGCCCAGGGTTTGTTTGCAGAGAATATCTTACAAACTGTTCAAGATTTCACTTATGAAAAACACATCAACCGATTATATCAGTTGTGCCTTTTAAATGAGAAGTTTCTCAAATTTGATGTTAGCGTTTCCATGGAAACACATTTGACTTACTTATTTTTTGGTGGTCGAGTCTTCTTGTAGTCTTTTAGTTTGGGAGATTTTTAAGGCATAAACTAGTATTTTTCGTCACAAATCAAAATCCTCACTGTTTTTTAAAATTTTTTCAGGGTGATTCTGGGGGACCATTTTTCTGTGAAAAGGATGACAGATGGTACCAGGTTGGAATTGTTTCTATTGGTTACCTGTGTGGGAATAATGCATTCCCAGGAATCTATACCAGAATATCACATTATAAAGACTGGATTGAGGACAAAATGGCCAATAATTAATACAAGTGTTCTAGGACTTTCATCATCGGTTAATAATTAATATTTGAAGGTGATTAATGTCTATAAAGACATTAAATATCAAGAACTGCCTCCATATCACGGAACACTCCTATTTAATCATTCATTATAGGCTAATTTATGAACTTCATTTCAGAAGAGTGTATTTATTATTTAAAACATAAGATATCAGGAAATAGTTGCAAGCATTATGTTTCAAATCATTATTACATTTAAAGGATCCATGTTATAATCTAATCAAGAAATAGTTGCAAACATTATGTTTCAAATTATTGAAGGGTCCATGTTACAATCTTACCAGGAAATGGTTCCATACATTATGTTTCAAATTAATGAAGGAGACATATTACAATCTTAGCAGGAAATGATTCCACACATTATGTTTCGAATGATTATATTCATATTTGAAGAATTCATGTACAATTTAATTCCTTCGCCAGTACCCAGATAATAAATTATATGGGCTGTAAGTAGTCTAACTTTGGATTAGATGAAAAATTAACCTTAAATAATACAGATGACAAAATAATTATACAGATAAATTTTGGAAAGAAAACCCGAATCTGTCTACTACTCATTACCTGTATTGCAAGTGTAGAGTGCAAGGGTTTGGGTTAGAATTACATAAATGAGTCGTTAATTGTGTGCGGTAGGAAAACTGACTAACAAACAAAACACAGAACAAACACATCAATCGATACAGATAATTTCTACAAGATTAGTGAATCCCCAAAGTGCCAACACTGAATCTAAATATCAATCTGAATACGAAACAATGATCAGCATGCGTACCATTAATAAACTGAATACGAAATAATGGTGAAAATAACATTAATAAACTGAATACGAAATAATGGATATCGTGCATTTAACATAAACAAGTAAACTGAATACGAAACAATAGTTAAGATACATTGATGAAATAACAGACAATGCAGGAGAACTGCACAACTAGACATAGGCATAACAAATGATGCCTGAATTCGGCCCACTTAGAAACATAGCCCCAGAGAAGATATACAATCTGAGCAGAAAACTGAAAAATATTTAACGAAAACACCCGGCGGTCTCAGCAGAACATGCAACTTTAAGAGGCTTATCATCTCTAAATTTAATTTTCATGGAACCTCATAATGTCACCTCGAATTCGGGACATGATTCTTAAAGTCTTTAACATGTAGTAAGAGAAATGTAGATAGCCTACTACCACGTTAACATTAAACCGATATCCATACTAAAGTCGAAGAATGTATTATACATGGTAATACAACACTGCACTAGTTTCAGTACATATGTTCTCAGAACTTTGGAATTTTAATTTGGATGAAGTTTTAATGTTCACAGACATAATCATTTTCTAAGTTGATTACTTTGTAAGATAATTACACTGGGGGTTTACTACCTTTTACCTAATGGTGCATTAAAGTACCAATCTTTTTAAAAATAAACTGTATTTTCTATACGATGCTCGAGCTTAGAGATAAACCCGGATTGGAACTACACATAGGACAACTTTGGGGTTGAATTAACCCTTATTAACATTCGGATATAGAGCCCTAAATGTTACAAAAACATCGTTTGTTGTAAGTTCTTATTTTCTTTAGATATTGTCAGAGTTAGGATAACTGCTATTTCATTCTTTTAAGCACAAACTGATTTTCATTTTTAAAATGTGTTTATATTATTAGTCCACCCGGTAATGTCGGGTGAGCTAATCACGCGAAGGGAACTGAAAGATAAACTTAATAGGTTTGACACATACATTGAGTTGCTACTTACACAAACGGCCGATTAACGTGGTCGAAGGATGCCAACACACACACCTGTTTATTGTGGAACAAATCGAGCCGAACCCGATGTTTCATCGCCAATTTTATCGGGTGCAATCAATTTTTGCGTAACTATATGTGATGTACAAGCCGAAGTACGTTATTCAATCGATGATGATTTGTAGGGGACTCCTTATCGAGCCCAATGACCCGACGGATTGTTTCAAACCAGCAGTGTGAACTGGCCTTTAACATTATTTCAACGCGCACTCATTTATTTAAACAAACAGTAATAATTATGTTATGTCTTCTTGTCATTAGTTGAATTATGTTAGTCATTTTTCATTACATCAACATTCACAATTTAATTAGTAAAGAATCTGTAGTAATTAACATGTTTATATTTTAACTGATGTACATAATAATGATGTTAAATTTAATGTTCATTGTGTGCTACAGGACATGAACAATGTTACAGCAAGATGTATATTATTCAGAATTAAATATTTAAATCATTTATAAAATGAGTTAAACCAGAAAAGGGTGGACCAAAGCAACTTTAAAAACATGTCTGGTAAAATTTGATGTAAGGAATTAAAGAAAAGTGCACTATAAGTACACTGGGTCCGTGGGGTATTTTCCCAGGAACACGCCGTTTCCACCTGCTCTTCAGTGAATATAACGTTTCAATTAAATGTGTTTACGTCCACGCCAATTTGTAGACGAGTGGATCTTGGCTTTTTGTATCACCCGTTGGACTAGGCAACTATTTCCTTGTTAGCCCGTCAATGGTAGTGTTTGTGAGAACCTTTTAGTCAATTTTCCCCACCACACGATTAGCCTCGACATCAAAGGTACAAGGTGATATCGATTTAATTTGTGATGGGGGAGAGAGAGAGAGAGAGAGAGAGAGAGAGAGAGAGAGAGAGGTTTAACGTCTACTCGACACAAACTAGGTCATTTCGGGACTAACATGTTGTTCAATTTTATTTCAATAATTCGCCCGCGCCTAGGGTTCTTTAGCAGTGGAAGGAAACCGGAGGACCCGGAGAAAACCCACAAGATTGGACAGGCGACCCCACTCCTTGTCAAGTACAGCCGGCGAATCGAAACCACTCCATTTGACTCAATGACAAACCTTATGACACAGCGCGCACACGCGAAGCATTCGGCTTCCAACCTCCCAATTTCTGATGGGAATGAGTTAGCATAATCTGGTAGATAGGTTGCCAGGCAACGAAACATACGCCCACAGCAGCAAAATGGTCCGGGCGGCCAACAAGAGTTGTCGCACATTTTTACTTTTGTAATGAAACATTTATAATACACTAAAATCTGATTAAGAGTAACAACTCATTAAGTAATTATCAGAAAATCATTAGAATTTGTTTGTCCCATGCTAACGTTTAGCATACAAAACATTTAATATTATGGATTTAGTTGTTCAATTTATCAAAAAACATTGAAATATACTTGTTCGTCTCAAGACCTCCAACTCTGTTTATCAATCTAAAGTCAATCGAAACGATTATATACTCTTCAAAAAAGTAGGGGATATTCAGAAACAATACAAAACTGCGGAAATGCACTGCTGTTTTTATTAGAGGTAACCAGTGTATGTTAATAACAGGCCAATTGCCTACATATGAACATAAACAGTTCATATGGGCGGCTTATCTAACGGCCCCATTTCACTCGCAAAGAGATACACCGTCAACAGGGAAAATGGACGTTTTTGATTTTTGTCTTAATAATGAGTAATTACTCCACCAATCCTCAGACATTCAGCAATCCGTCGTGGCATGCTCCTAATCAACCGTCCAATCACGATTTGGGGCAATCTGACCCACTCCTCTTGCAGTGCCACGGCCAATTCTTGCAGTGTTGTCGTTTGACGTGGACGTCGACGAACACATCTCCCGATCAAATTAAACGTAACACACTAATGCAAGAACCGATAGGAAAGCAAACATGGATAGATAAACCAGCACGCGGCAGTTTTCATCAACCCTTCCTTGAAGTGTCAAATTTGACAATGAACCCCTCCCACGTGTATGGCGCCATTGCATGTCGCATGTGCAGCTCAGTGGTTTTGTTGGGGCGTTAAGTTCTTCATCTATGAACATACTCTCAAAGCATGTCAAATGTCCATGACTATTTATCTTATCGCAACCTGCATGGGTATTTGCATTTCAATATTCCCTACTTTTTTTTTGAAGAGTATATATAGGCGTAAACACAATGTATAAAATGGTCATAAAGCATCCACAAGATTTTTCAAAGTGATCAATGGCCATAGCTCTGGCAGTAATCAACGGGATTCTTCGTCTGATGACCTTATAAACACTGTGCATAAATTTAAAGTCAATCGGATATTAACTTTAGTATCTAGAGTTCCCACAAGATTTTTTCAAAGTGTTCAAGGGTCATAACTCTGGCAATAATTAACGGAAATCATTGAAAATAAAGAGGCTTATTCGTCTCATGGCCTTAAACACTGTGTATACAGTTAAGGTCAATCGGATATTTACTTTAGCCCCAAGAGCGTCCACAAACAATTGTGGATGCCGGGCCGACGGACGGACCGACAACAATATACGACCAATTTCAATGTGGGCGTATAAAAAATTTAAAGACTTTTACTGTACTAAGAGTTTTGATACACAGGTGGGATGGTTGGAAAGAAAACTGAATGACTGGCAAACACGTTTGTATATGATTTAAAGAAAGAAACCTTTTGGATGCAATATCGCGTGTTAAGACTAGTGCCTTCAAGTAGTATAGCGTGGGTAAATTCTATAAACATTATATACCTGCATAAGTTTGAATGTCACAATATCCATAACGTTTATGGGACTGTTTCGGAACTCGAAAACGTCACAGATGGAAAGGTTATGAAGTAAGTGGGGGGAATCACCTCTTCTAAACGGAGGCAACTTGTCACTGATGTGTACGGCTTCATTGCAGCTGGTAACGTTGTTTCACCTATGCTAATATTCCCATGGTAAAACATATGTGAGCCAAGCAACCATTGCTTATCAACAGATGTCGTAATGTCTTACAGGCAGGGACAATAACGCTAAAATAATAATAGATATGCGTTGAGTTTTCGATAGGATTATAGCAGCATTAAATCTTTATGAGAACCATAAAAAAAATCGTTGATTTTCGATACCGTTCATTCTTATGTTGATTCATACACACTTCGAATTAAAAGTAACTTCTAGTATGCAATTTAGCGGGTTTTAGCGGCAAGAGCGGTAATTCCGTAACAATATAACATCAAATTAAAATGTTGGGGTATGAAAAAACATGACACAATTAAAATTCAAAGTATTTAATTCATCTTGTATAAAATTACACCGGTTTTAAATATACAATAAATACTATATCAAAATTAAAATATATATACCCCATCTCACCAAAATATTGAATTCATTATTAACAAACTAAAACCGGAAAATTATTTGCAGTAGATAATTATATGCGTATTATATTATTTCATAATTTTAAAGTATATAATGGAATGATACAAGTGTACTACTAAATTTAATTTAAAATTAGTATGATTTCAGGGAGGCTTTTGAATAGTTATCTTGGTCATATAACTATAAATTATAAACAAGTCAACAGTGAGGCATTATCCCAAATTAAATAGATGACCCATATAAATTAATTGCACATTTATCTTGTTGAAAAGTATGATCCAGCAATCAAACCGATTATCTATAGTTAGTCTACAATAAGTTTCATTATTCTCCATCAGTTTGAAACAAAGTTAACTTGTCCAAAAGCATCCAGCAATGAAATTGCTTAGTCCAGCTTTAAAGGAAAATGTTAATTATTGAACTCAGTCAAGAAATTTACCCTATGCACATACACACCAAGTTTATTATAAAAGTATCTTATAGCATTTAGACACACAAAGATTACTAATTACTTCAATCACAACCTGTATTACAAAACATTGTATTTGGTTATATTTATAATTATTATATTTAAATACAGATATTTAATAAAGGTTTAAAACCTAATTATCTTAGTTTTATTTACACTGATTTACAATATTAAAGGGGCATTATGGAAGAGCTGGCTGTTCCCACTATAATAGTTAAAAACTAGATAATGTAAAGGGAATATGCTGATTTTGCAGTCAAATTGCTCCACTCTGAACCGAGATATTAGCGTATGAAATTTAGGCCTAGCCTCAATCATCATTACTAAAGTCGGTATGATAAAAAACATAGTCTTGATTATCCATTTTTGGATTAAATCATCAATGAGCATTGAGCAGCAAATCAGATTCAAATCCAGTGGAAATTCGACACATGAGATGGCATTGAGAGTTGATTAGGATCTTTTAATAAATGTTAATAGTTTATATAACATTTCAGGCCCAAAGAAAGACCTACAATAGGTAGATTTATCTCTTGCATAATACAGGTTTAATATCATAAATTCGACATCTTACACATGTAGAGAAAGATAACCTATGTTGTATAGATAGGGCAGGGGATTAAATGCTGTATTGTTACATCTATTAATGGGGGGTGGGGGAGGGGATTGTCAATATCATATTGTAACATCCAGTAATTCCTCCATCTAACATCCATTAATTCTTCCATCTAGGACTGGTAGATATAAATGGGAAGTTATAAACATTAGGAAGACCTGTGTGTGATACGTTAAATGTTGGTGTCCATTTAAATGGTGGTAAACCATTACCAAGTGTAGGGCCATTAACAATATCAGCTTCTAAATTTAAAGCCATATTAAAATCCATCACCTGCAAAAAGTGAAAGCATATTATATTTTAATGATATCACTAAAATGTCAACAGGAAATATCAGATTTATAAAAAGGTCTTGACAATCTAAAGCTGCTGAACATTATTTGAGGGATCCCTTAAAATTTAGTTGAAATTGAATCGCTTAAAGGTCCAACATTCCAAAAATTGTTCAATGAATTGAACATTTATGACATTCAGCATCGTCTATAGATTATATAAACAAGCCATTTGTTGCATAAATCTTTTGACAGGCCTCCTTTTAATCTATTTGAATCCAAGATGGGAGATAACCTAACACTGATATTATTTTTTACTTAAATAAATGTTAGATAATGAATGTTTGAGTACATTTTAGCCCAGATTTAAAGCCTTGAAAAATTAGATATTATCCAAAATATGCACAATCTACATTATCTAATTAAAGATATCTCTCTGAAACATGAGAAAATATTTGAAATTTAAGTATATAAACAGACATCCTTTGCTTGGATTAGGAACAGATTTAGTTTAAAAGTATTTCAAACTTATTTTATTGCATCAATATTACATTGTGGGAAGTTTGGTGGTTGAATGGATCATAAGGTCTGTCATTGAGTCAAGTGGTTTGGTTTCGATTCCTCACTTGTATGTGATAAGGAGAATGGTCGCTTGTCCAACCTCATTGTTTTTCTCCGGGTCCTTCGGTTTCCTCCCACTGCTAAAGACCCCTACTTGCAACGAATTATTGAAATATTATTGAATCATGTTAGTCCTGAAAGGACCTAGTTTGTGTCGAGTGGACGTTAAACACCATTTTTCTCTCTCTCAACATTACATTGTACAATACAAAAGTTCTAACAACTATTAAAGAGGTCCTCTCCTTAATAAGAGTATGTCTTCTTCCTGATATAATGATTATCATATTTCCTTCTAAAGAACATCTGTTATTATAGAAACATGTTTTGCAAATATTGTCATGGTAATAGAGTTTCAACAGGAACTAGTAATGACACTCTGAATATATGAGGTGTCATTTGTAGGATGTAATTAATACCAAGCATTAAAATAGATGTTAAAATAGTTAGCCTTTAATTTGTTTATCTCACCTTTGTATCATAGCAACCATCAGCTCTAGGTGATTTTGCATCCAGGTCACCACGACAACAGATCGTGTTACATGGGTTATCTTCACTGTATTTATCGTTTTTATAATCTGTAATAATTACAATAGATCAGTTTTTTTAGATATGTGAGTAAATACATATGAAATAATTATAGCACGGAAGTTTTCAACTGAATTTTATGTTGAATGAAAAAAGAAATTATCTTATAAATCAGAAGGAAATTCATCAATGACTTCTTTTTATGTGGGATTAAATGTTCCCCATGACAGTAAAATGAGTCATTGTTTGATAATATGATCAAAAATGTTTAAAAGATAAAAACAATTTTTTTAAATTAAAATTTGCTTTATTTGTTAAATATAGGGGAGGTCAGCGAGTATGGGGGACTAGAGGTTGATCCCTGTGTTGGACAAGAACGTTCCTTGAAATTTGCCAGCCTGGTTTCTCCTTGTCAGTACTGGAGGATGGAGGAAATGGGAATGAAAAATGCCAGGCCTTTCAGAAAGGACAAAATAACAGCTAAAAATTAACAGTGGTTGCCAGGCAAGATACGCCCACATTTTGCAAGAGTTGGATAGAGAACAAGCTAAAAACAAAAATGCGATTTTTTGTACAAACAGGAAGTTTATTATACCCGTCATTTTACATCATGACACACATTAAGTTTCGTTGTGTCCAGGAATTTTATGATTTAGCACAAAATATGTTACTTTGCCGGCAAATAGGACAAAAATTGTGATTTATAGTAGAACGTCCACAATCTTTGTATTGCATACTTTTATATTATACTATTTTCGTTCAAGCAGCGGCCATTTTGTCGGACAGTTTCGGTCAAGTTTTTAAAATCAGATAAAAATTGTTGAAGGTCAACAAGCTAAAAATGTGTCTTTAGCTACAATCTAAGAAGTTATCGTCTGATGTGTGAGAATATCGAAAGGAACCGAGATCTTTGGGACATAAACTTATACTTTTATTTTCATCAAAATCGGATCAAAATTGTGATCTCTGGGAGTTCCATTACCTTGGTATTACATCATCTGTCCACATGGAAATATGGGCGTATAAAATTGGGGAGAACTATTGTCTGAGTAAATTACGCTGTTAGCCACCTGCATGGTACATGCCCATCTACATTAGACTGAATTGTGCAGAAATGGAAGAAGTTTTAATTTTCGATAATGATTGCCATGCAAGATATGTCCACATATTGCAAGAGATGGACAGAAAACAAGCTACAGTACAAGCTGGGGCAATGATCCAGAAAGTAAGGGTCCGATTCGCGCAAGTATTGAAATGAACTCAGACCTTTGAGATATAAACGTAAAATTTAAACTTAATTAAAATAGATAAAAATTGTGGCACAATCATGGCATTACATACATTTATAATATTTGTGTAAGGGAGCAGCCATAATGACAAAAATTGTCATTACTAAAAGGCCCGGGTTCATAAGTGAATGGTATCAGCTTACCAGTGTCTAGAGGGTCCACAAGCTAAAAACGCAAATCACACAAAACGAGGTCATCATGATGTTACACTTCGATATGTGCGATTATCGAAAGAAACCAAGATCTTTGGGGTATAAACATATTTTCTCAAAATCAGATCAAAATTATGACCTCTAGAGTACAATCATGGTATTATATATTTTTACACTATATGCATACAAGGAGAGTCCATTTTCTCCACGAAATACTAACCTAACAAACATAGAGTGTAATAGTGATATATTTAAGCAATTTTTAAAATTGGATAAAAATTGCGACCTCTAGAGGCTCCATAAGCCAAAATACACAATTTTTTGCACAATCAGGGGCCGTAATCCAGGAAGTTACAGTCAGATATGTGTGAATATTGACAGGAACCAAGATCTATGGTATGAAAACATACATTTTAAGTTTCATCAAAATTGGATCAAGGAGCGAACATTTTGTCAGACAACTTCAAACTGATATGCACGAATATTGAAAGGGAACCGAGATCTTTGGGAGATAAACCTATATTTCAAGTTTTGTCAAAATCTGATAAAAATTGAGACCTGTAGAGTGTCCACAAAGATCATGTGAAGACAACACAGATGGCTAGACAGATGGTGGCAATGTCAATATACATGTAAGTTCACATGAAAATGTGGGCGTTTAATAAAATAGATAATTCTTACCATTATATCTCATGATATTTTTAAAAGATGTTAAATCTACAACCTTTCCTTCATCTCTACGGAATATTTTAGCTCTGGGTGCCAGCTGATATGTTGAATCTAGACCATGCTGGGCAGAAAATTCAGGATAGCCACTCATATTATAAATTTCTTCAAAAAATGGTACATTGTAAGATGGCCAATAACCTGTAATAAGTTAATATAGTAATACCTTTCTATTGATTCAGCATGCATTCTGTCCTTCATCATAAAATAATAGTCCATAGGCATGAAACTTTTCAGAAAAAATATCAAAATTTTGAGGAATCACAAGAAACTCTAGTGGGTTTTATGTGGCAAATGTTGTTTAAATAAAGTAAACAGAGATCATTGTATTTAGCAGTAAAAGTTTAAAAGTAGAGAATAAATATAGTTTTATAGCAATTAGTAATAATCCAAATAAATTGAAATCTTTATAAATTTTATTAACTTACCAGCTCGTAATATTTGTGTCTCGTCACCAGATACTACTAATGTCGGTATCTGTTCTACTACCCATAATGCATTATCTCTTATTTCTTTACCCAGAGCTATTTGCTTTAGATCAATTACCATATACTGATTATTATAGGTCCCTAAAATATAAATAACTTAAATATCTAGTAGGTTCCTATTAATCAGGGATAACGTCTTCTCTAAAAAATAAATATAGTAGGTTCCTATTACTCAGGGATAGCGTCTTCTCTAAAAAATAAATAATGCAAATAGTAGGTTCCTCAGGGATAGCGTCTTCTATATAGTGTTACTTAGTCATTTGGAAGAAAAATAAATAACACAAAATAGTAGGTTCCTATTAGTCAGGGATAGCGTCTTCTATATAGTGTTATTTAGTCATTTGAATGAAACATAAAGGGAAGGTCCAAATGTGTACATATTGGTCTTCAAGTAAAAGAACAGTTAGAATTTGACAAAGAGTAGTCAGAAACACTGCCAGTGCTTATTCATTAGGATGGGACATTAAATGGAGGGTCCAAATGTGAACAAATTGGTATGCAAGTAAAAGAAAGTTTAGCAGTTGGAATTCAACGTAGATTAGTCAGAAAAGATGCTGTTTAGGCAAAATCCCCCTACTTATCACTGCATGCATGGCTATAGAGAGAAAAATGGGAAAAAACAAATTAGTCTGAAACTCGTGTTGGCAAGGATTTAAAAGTCCATTCCCTTATTTTATTTGGGAATGTAGAATGACTACTGGTACTATCACGCATATTCTGTTCAATGCACTATAACAGAGGGAGAGAAATGGGATTTAACACTTTAACAGGGTGATATCATATTGTGGCTTTCTCACTCTGCATCTGATCTTTCTAAGGATTCTCTCAGAACCAGAATATTATTCTGTATGAGTTAAATATATATTTGGGATTAGGGGGCCACAGTGGCTTAGTGAGTAAGGCACTGTCTCACAAACAAGGAGGTCCCGAGTGCGAACCCAGTGTTGGCCAATCACTTCCTATGGATTTTCCAAACTGGTTTGCCCTTGTCAGTGCCACAGTTTAAAATAAAACGAAACACCAAGGTCATGTATGGACCTTTGTGTGCACATAAAACAACTCTGGAATTTTTTATTACGACATTGGTGGAGGAATAAATATATTTAATCACCATTTCATTTAATTTGTAAACATCCTGATAATAAAAATAATAAACATTCATTCATTAGAATGTTCTAAAATCCAAAAGCCATGTTAAAGGTGGTGTTAATGATAAAACAGTTCTGGCAGAGGCCTAATATTTAAAAATGAGAAAAATCAAATAAATAATCTCACCCGAGTTATATGTAGCAAGTATATCTGCCCATTCTTTACCCGTGTTAGCTAACATATTAGCTACTCTAACACGATGCCATGCCAACAGGCTATTTGGTGTACAAGATTTATATAATGTTGAATTAAATATATTGTTTGTTGTCTGCAACATAACCATTTTACTTCCTAATAAGTAAAAATCATCCCATGATTCCAGAAATCCTACAAAAAAAAAGATCTTGATAGATAAGTATCTAGAAATAAGAACAAGCGGTTGCCATGCCAGAAACGCCCACATATTTCAAGAGATCAACAGAAAACAAGCTCAAAAAAAGAAGCGATAATCCAGGAAGTTATGGTCCGATAAGCGTGAATATCTACAGGAACCTAGATCTTCGGGATATGAACATATTTTAAGTTTCATAAGGAGCGGCCATTTAGTCGAGCAGTTTCGATCTGATTTTTACTAAATTCGAACTCACCCATCATTATGGTGTAATAGTAATAGATTTAAACAGTTTTTAAAATCACTAAAGATGCAATTTTTCATACAATCAGGGGCCATAATCAAGGAGGTGCCGGTCTGATATGTGCAAAGGAACTGAGATCTCTGAGACATAAAAATATATTTTAAGTTTCATCAAAATCTGACAAAAATTGTGGCCTCTAGAGGGTCCACAACTTTCATATACCATATTTTTACACTATTTGCATACGAGAGACGGACATTTTATCCGGCAGTTTTGGTACGATTTCCACAAAATTCAAACTCAACATCATTCGGGTGTAACGGTGATATATTCAAACATTTTTTAAAATCGGATAAAAATTGTGACCTCTAGAGGATCCACAAGCTAAAAACGTGATTTTTCGTCCAATCAGGGGCCATTATTCAGGAACCTACGATTTGACATCCTTGAATATCGACATAAATCAAGATAAACATGTTATAAACATGCATATCAAATTCAGATGAAAATTGTTACCTCTAGAGTGTCCACAATTTAAAAGCGTAATTTTTCGTATAATCAGGGGCCATAATCCATTAAGTAATGGTCCGATATATGCCAATATCGAAAGGAACTGAGATCTTTGGGAGATAGACCTATAATTCAAGTTTGGTCAAAATCGAATAAAAAATATGACTTGTAGTTTGTCCAAAGATAGGTTGCCAGGCAACGAAACATACGCCCACAACGGGCAGTCAACAAGAGTTGTTGCACATTTTTACTTTTTTCGGTAATGAAACATTTATAATACACTAAAATCTGATTAAGAGCAACAACTCATGAAGTAAGTATCAGAAAACCATTAGAATTTGTTTGTTTGTATAAAGTTCTGCCCCATGCTAACGTTTTGAATACAAAACTTTTAATATCATGGATTTAGCTGTTCAAGACATAAAAATCCATTGAAAATCAATATACTTGTTCGTCTCAAGATCTTAAACTCTGTGTATAAATCTGAAGTCAATCGGATGATAACTTTAGCCTTTAGAGCGTCACAAAGTGATCAAGGGCCATAACTTTAACAGTAATTATCGTAAATCATTAAAAATCAATAGGATTCTTTGTCTCATGACCTTAAACACTGTGTATCAATTTAAAGTCAATCGGATATTAACTTTGGCCTTTAGAGTGTCCACAAGATTTTTTGAAGTGATCAAGGGCCATAATTCTGGCAGTAATTATCGGAAATCATTGAAAATCAATAGGATTCTTTGTCTCATGACCTTAAACACTGTGTATAAATTTAAAGTCAATCGGATATTAACTTAGGCCTCTAGAGCGTCCACAAGATTTTTCGAAGTGATCAAGGGCCATAACTCTGGCAGTAATTATCGGGAATCGCTGAAAATAAATAGGCTTCTTCGTCTCATGACCTTAAACACTGTGTATAAATTTAAAGTCAATCGGATAATAACTTTGGCCTTTAGAGTGTCCACAAGATTTTTTGAAGTGATCAAGGGCCATAACTCTGGCAGTAATTATTGGAAATCACTGAAAATCAATAGGCTTTTTCGTCTCATGACCTAAAACACTGTGTATAAATTAGGTCAATCGGATATTAACTTTGGCCTCTAGAGCGTCCACAAGATTTTTCAAAGTGATCAAGGGCCATAACTCTGGCAATAATTATTGGAAATCGCTGAAAATCAATAGGCTTCTTCGTCTCAAGACCTTAAACACTGTGTATAAATTTAAAGTCAATCAGATATTAACTTTGGCCTCTAGAGCGTCCACAAGCAATTGTGGACGCCGGGAACGTATAAAAACAAATTGTGGACAGAATAATACGTCCACATGAAAATGTGGGCTTATAAAATGAGAATATAGTAACAAATGAAAAGGAGTACACTAACAATGACAGGGGATACAATAACAAATGAACAGGGGTACAATAACAAATGAAAGGGAATACACTAACAAATGAAAGGGGGAAAAATAACAAAAGAAAAGGGGTACAATAACAAATAAAAAAAGTGATACAATAACAAATGGAAGAAAATACAATAACAAATGGAAGAAAATACAATAACAATTGGAAGAAAATACAATAACAATTGGAAGAAAATAACAAATGGAAGAAAATACAATAACAAATGAAAGAAAATACAATAACAATTAAGAAAATACCATAACAAATGATGGAGAAATTTACAACAAAACATAAACAGGACAAATCTGTTAAATTATATTGAGTAGCAAAGATAGTCAAAGAACTTGTTAAATTATTGTAGGATTTCAAAATCAAGATTAAATGATTTATAATTCAACATCAGATTTTAACTCTTTAAGGAGTTGAATCTATATTCCTTGGAACCTAAATTGGTCGAAAATGGGTCAAAAACACAATGTAATGTGAAACTGATTCATTTTCATTCTTTAACATATTATTTTAATGAGTGTTATAAGTGTCGAAAATACATGTCCAAATCGAATGACAGTCAGCAGGCGGTAAACCAGTGGGCAGTGTTTAGTTAAAGAGCACATAAAATGACCAAACAAAATTAAATGTACTTATAGCTAGTGTTTACTATTTACATTTTATAAATATTCTACATCAATTAGATTAAAATTATTCAATATATTTTCGTTTATGTGTCAACCGCTCAAAAAATACTTTTCAATTTTTCAATTACAACCTTAATCCAGTTGATTGGCAGTGAAGTCACAGGGACTACACAAACATATACACTAATGTTTATTGACGGTTAAATTAACATACTGACTGACTTAATCATTACCCAAGCCACAAATAAGCAAACACTAGGCCTATATAAGACAGAAACATTGTTATACATTGTCATTCCCCTACATAAGCACAATAAAGGCAAAAACGAAACATCGTCGTATCACCCAGTCAGTCTCACATCTACTTTATGTAAAACACTAGAAACAATAATTACAAACAGACTAAAATTTCACTGTGAAAGCAACAACATCCTCACAAAACAGCAAAGTGGCTATCGTTCCGACAGGTCGACAGCAGACCATATCATTAGATTTATAACATGACATCTCCAAAGCCTTCACAGCTAAACAATACCTCTGCGCAATCTTTGTTGACTTAACAAAGGCCTTCGACCTTGTATGGGTGGATGGTCTTTTACACAAACTCCACAACGCGAATGTACAAATGGATTGAAGACTTTCTAAACGATAGGCATATCAGAGTACGCGTAGGTAATTGCTTAAGTGACAAATTCAAAATGGAAAACGGAACGCCGCAAGGATCCGTTATCAGCCCAATACTATTCAATATAATGATTAATGATCTTCCAAACTATGGGGGGAAGGGCACAGAATCCGCACTATTTGCTGACGACAGCTCGTTCTGGAAAGCTTCAAATAACATAGGTATAATCAAACAATCGCTTCAATATACCCTAAAACAAATCTCATAGTGGGCAGACGACTGGGGTTTCAAAATTTCAGAAGGGAAAACTGTAGCAATAATGTTTCAGCCGACTGACACTAACAGGAAAATAGACTTAAATCTTAGCAGCTCAAAAATAGAACTCAAAACAGAAATCAAATTTTTAGGAATGATATTTGACTCCAAACTTTCTTGGAAACCACACATAGACAGCATAGTAAGTCGCACATCGAAAACAATCAACTTAATGAAATACATCTAAGGAACGCAATGGGGCGCAAATAGAAGCACTCTTATGTTAATATACAGAGCACTCATCCGCTCGGTAATCGACTACGGATGTCTGGCTTATGCAAATGCAAGTGATACACAACTAAATAAATTGAACATAATACAAGGTAAAGCATTAAGACTAGTAACAAGAGCAGCAATAGGAACCAAAACAGTTGCCCTTTTACAAGAGATGGGAGAACTCCCGCTCGCTCTCAGGCGAGAGGAACTGTCACTCAAGTACTGGGGTAAACTGCAAATGCTAAAAGAAAAATGTCTGACATATAAGTGCCTCCAACAATTCAAACGCATAGGCTATAGAAAAAATACGCGTCCCATGACATTCGGGCAAATGCCAAACGATGTCTTAAATAAGCACGGTTTAAAAGGAACAATCATAGAAACAAAAACTTATCCCGTCACTCCACCCTGGCAACTAAACGATCCAATCATCAACACGCACCTAATTAACGTTACAAACAAACACGCTAGAGCACTAGCATTAGAACTAATAGACACCAAATGGGCAGACTATCTCAAAATCTATACAGATGGATCGAAAAATAATACACAGGGATTAACAGGGTACGGCATTTTCATACCCAAAGCAAAGCTAAACATCAGGAAAAGGATACAAGAACATTGTTCTGTGTACACCGCAGAACTGATGGCCATTAAAACTGCAATAGAATGGCTAGCCACGCAAACACACCAAAAAGCCGTTATCCTATCAGACTCCCTAAGTAGCATCAAATCCATCGAATCAGATTATTCCAAAAGCAGACAGGGCATAATCCACCAAATTAGGGATATCAATCAAACAATCAAGAATAACGGAAGAGAGGTAGTCCTTGCATGGATCCCCTCCCACATCAATATTTTCGGCAATGAACAAGCTGACAAGCTAGCCAAGGAAGGGTTGTCACTAAATGATATAGAAAATTTAGAATACAGCAGTCAGGAATTCACAAGCATAGCTAAAGATAAAATTAAAAATGCATGGAAAACCCGTCTAAAACAAGAGAATACTCATCGCTATCAAATTGATAGCAATCTTGTAGACAAGGTTTACATCAATCATCCCTCATTTAAAATATGCAAACTCATCACGAGGCTTAAAACGATAAACGTTAATATAAGACTTTACCTTTACACCAATTAAATGCCCATGTGGACAAATTGCGACCACGTCACACCTGCTAATCAACTGTAATCAATTAAACAAAGAACGTCAATCCGTAATTAAGAATCTAGCAGAGAGGGGGAAAAACTCTCTGTCTCAAATCTCTCCTTTCTCCACAACCTGACGATAGATACTGGACATCACAACTTGTCTGGGATTTTATTGAGAATATAGGGATGACCAAATATATAAAATAATAAAATTAAACAATTAAACAGTAGGGCGGAACGTAAAAATGTCCTCTAGAAGGAAGCGTAAACCCCCCTACACTAATAATAAATATAGGCATGACCAAATACATAAAATAATAAAATTAATCAATTAACAGTAGGGCAGAACGTAAAAATGTCCTCTAGAAGGAAGCGTAAACCGCACTACACTACTAATAAAACTCCGATAAAATTAATAAATCAAATTATACAATGTAGGATTAAGCGAAAAAACGTGCCCTAGAGGGAATCGCCACCTGTCCTACACCACAAATAAAACTATTAATTAATAAATCAGGGTGATAGCGCAAAAATGTCCCCATAAGAGGGAAACGCTACACACCCCGAAATATTCTTTACACTTTTAATTATTTGACTAAATAAGTATTGATTGTAGATCATATTAAGCCACCATATATACTATTCAAAAAAAGTAGGGGATATTTGATTTTGGGGGCATAATACTAAAATATGCAAATGACTACGAAAAAAGTCACTATAGAACCTAACAGAAGAAACATTTCCAGTTACATGTGACGCCCAAACGCACCAATAGCTACCGCATGGAATGCAGGTGATGCTTGGGATCATCATGGGGGTCCAACCCAAGATTTGCACGACTCTGACTTTGAATGTTACAGTCATTGTGGCATTCAATTCCAGGGTGGAAACATCAGTTTAATTGTTTTAGTGACCAGAAAACAAATTTTGATATGCGTCGGCTTACCCAAAATGAAAGGTTACGTGCCCTTGGCATGCTACAGATCGGCACAACACAGGCGGTTGTGGCGCGGACGATGAATGTTTCTCAGTCTGTCATAAGCAGGCTATGGTCCAGATACCGTGATACACAATCTGTACAGGACAGACCACGCTCAGGTCGACCAAGGGTGACAACTCAAGCCCAGGATCGATTTATCCGTACCTTGGCCTTGAGAAATCGTGTCATCACAGCAAATCAGATAGGCGCTCGTCTTCAAACAGACACTGGTGTGAGAGTGAGTGTCCAGACGATTCGGAATCGACTGCATAGGGGTCACCTTCGCGCCCGACGTCCTCGCGTGATCCCTTGTTTGAGAGAACATCACATTCAGGCAAGACGTCGTTGGTGTAGGGATCGTCAACACTGGGATAATCGACGCTGGAGCAATGTGATGTTTTCAGATGAGTCAAGGTTCACTGTTGATTTTTTGGACAGACATAGGAGGGTGTGGCGTCGTCGAAACGAGCGCTTCCAAGACGTTAACGTCATCAGACATGATCGATTTGGGGGTGGTTCTGTTATGGTGTGGGGAGGCATCACTGTTGCTGGAAGAACGGCTTTACATGTTGTTGCAGGGCGTGTTACAGGGCCAGTACTACCGGGACAACATCTTGGCAGTCCATGTTGTGCTGTTCGCACGACGTCATGGCCGCCGTTTCATCTTCCAGGATGACAACGCAAGATGTCACAGGGCCAGGATCGTTACAGGTTACCTCCAACAACAGAACATCACCACATTACCTTGGCCAGCACTGAGTCCCGACCTCTCCCCCATCGAGCATGTCTGGGACATGCTTGGACAGAGGTTACGTCAACGTCAACAACGTCCTGCCAATGTCCAAGAACTTGCTGCTGCGTTGCAACAGGAATGGGACAATCTGGACCAAAATGACCTTAGACGTCTCATTAGGAGTATGCCACGTCGGATCAATGCTTGTTTGGCAAACAGAGGAGGATTTACCCGTTACTGACTTGGTTGTGATGCTGTGGTAACTTTGCTGTTTGACCCCGGGTATCATTTTACCCTTATAATGGTCAGTCTGTGCCTTACTTAGTCTAACGATCATTTGGAATAAATCGATGAATGTGAACTTCATTTCATTTTGTCATTTGTTTCTTCATCAGTTTCATTAGGTGACTTTAATAACACTTAAAAATCAAATATCCCCTACTTTTTTGAATAGTATATGTATTATTGTATTTAATAACTCCTAATAAATTTTGATTGAATGTATATCATACTAACTTGCCATAAATGCATTTTTTTTTTTTTTTCCTCCAACCCCAGCCCCCCCCCCCCCCGAAGCCTTACTAGACGAAATAAAAACAAAACCATACCATCACAAAACCAGCTACTCTTTTTTCTCTAGCTTTCTCTTTTCAGGCGCTGGATTCTTCCTTCAGAGAACCAACAACAAAGGAATGAACAACAGAAATAATGACGAAATCAACACCATACCGGACAACAAAACCAAATGGAAGGAAGAATAGTCCAGGCCTTACACTCACCAACAAGCCCCAAGGAAGAGTTGCACCGCCCTGCCATTCAACCGGACAAATCAACCAGACCGACGAAAATGACCTAAATATATATATATATATGTACATACTATGTCTAAATGTTTGTCTCTGTCCAAATGTTCGTCCACATTCATGTCTGTTTTGTTACAAATTCGTCTGTTTTGTAAACGTCCACTGGCACCTCTTTATTCTTTGCACCTGCTATCTCATGTCTCTTGCTGTTATCTATTGTCTTCTGTACATATATATAAAAACCTAATTATCCTCTTTTTCACTAATCACATTGTAAATTATTGCACCATGTTATTGTCTGCGATATCACCTCGGTGGAAGCGGACGTAAAATACAACTAACTAACAACAACAATTATACATGTAGATGACAAACTTGTGACTGGATAATTTTACATGAAATATCTTTGTTTTATTGTGAGTTGTGGAAATTCCAGCAAAGAAATGGGACATACTGCACCTTTTTTTCTGATACACAGCAGTATTGGGGAGATTTATATTCATATCACACTTAAATTAATATTTTAATCTTTGAACTAATCAATCCTTATTCCTGACCTATTGTATAAGTTATTAGAATGAATGGGGAATGCTCACTAGTCCACGGGTTCATTAGTCCAACGATATCTATTATTGGGTTTGGGTTAGGGTTGGTGCACTGTCCGCGGGTTCATTAGTCCACCAATATCTATTATCAGGGTTAAGGTTAGGGTTTGGATTATGTTTTTTGATAACCATATTTATAGTATTTCTTATAGCGGTGGACTAGTGAACCTGTGGACTAGTGAACCCCTCTCAAATGAATCAAGTTTCACTGGAATTCAACCCATTAAGTTCGTTTTCTAAAACATGTGACCTTAAGGAAACCTTCAGAAGGGTGAAAGCTACAATCATTTGTGGTGAATAATCCCCATTAAAAGTTATGTGATTATATGAAAATAATTATATTATAATTACCTGGATAACTAGCGAATGAGATGCGGCGAGCAGATGTCGATTTATCACTGACATTAAAATTATAATGTTTAAATATTCTAGATGAAGCAGCATACTCAAACCAACTCGAGTGAGACATAAAAATATCTTCATAAGCTCCCAATACCTGTACAATAATGTAACAATTTATTACAATATTTTGGGGGGAAAAAATATCATCTGGTCAAATTTCGATCTCTTTCTAGAAGACCTTATACCACAATATGGGAGGTTTACATTGCTAATAAAATTTAAATCAAAATTGTGGTTTTGATTTTGGTTAAAATGGGGTATAAAGGTCTACTCTACTGGACCAAGCGGGCTTATGTAGACGGGAATATGCCATGCAGTCGGAATTTCATGGAATTCCAACTGCCAAGGATTCCTTTAACATGATTGCAAACATGCGTACACAGACCTCGTTTTTTGTCCCATGAGAATGCTTAGAACCAGAATATTTGTACCAAATAATCTTAATTTAGTTTCCAATTAAATTAGTTACAGACAGGTAAGAGAGTATGAAAACCCCAGACTGGTCTTAGACTAAGACTCTTAGTGCAATTTAGTCAGCAATTGTGTACTCAAAGCATACTTTCTTCTCTGGGTCCATATAAGGGAGATAACTATTCTTTACCTTGACAAGTACTGAACAATGTCCACTTTCTTGTGCATAAATCATGGCCTGTTCTTTTGTCATTTTCCTCCAATCCGGTATACTTTGTGGATCAAGAACTTTGACCAGATCTATTAGATCACCAGCACCATTTAATACTTGGAATGCATAAGTTTTTAAAGCCTATAAAATAGTCATAATTAAAATGTTTACATATTATCAAAAGGAATTACACAAACTAAATTAATTTAACTAGCTTTTGTCAGAAAGAAGTTCCCCTCCATCTGCATGGTTAACAATTTTTTTGTGAGGCAAATTTTGTTTATTTTTTTTCAAATATGGTTCTTATTTGCTTTACTTGGGACTAATAGTAAGTGCAGGGGGACTGCACCACACAAAATTTACACAAAAGCAAATACACGGACAGGACATCATACTCAGGAAAACACAAACATACAGACAATTAAAAAAAATAGTGCATAAATTATTTACGTTACGGTTTATATGGTCTCTTGTCCCTTCTAAATAAAGATGGGACATCATCGCTTAAAGGGACAATAACACTCTTGCTGGCTTGACAGCTCCAGAAAATAAAAAATAGCCTTATTCTAAGTACTAGATGTTTAAGTGTCCTACCGGTTGTGTAAATTATCCATTACATCCTATTTTACTTGTCCAGAGGGTTTGAAAATATTTTTAAATCCAAGTCTTATTTGAAAAGGTTTACGTTAGGCTTTTCAAATCATTTAGTTGAATTTTTCCAATTTTTTTTAAATTAGGTGTGTTAAGATGAAATTTGTATCACAAATTAATTGGAATATTGTAAAATAGTACAATTTGTTGACCAGAATAAAGATTGGGACATATTATTCAGTTACAACAAGAGTGCTATTGAGCCTTTAATGTTGGCACACCATTATTACAACCACTTTGTCAATTGTACATTATTTATAGAAGATAGTGGTCATGCGATTCTTTCATAGAAATGAATTTGTGTGACACATTGCATAATACATTGATACAATGCTTAGGTCTAGCTCTATGTACGTGATATTTGGTAAAATCTGCTGAAATAATCCAGGAAGTTAAGGTTCAATATGTTACAAAATCTGGTCAAATTGTGACCTTGAGTGTCCACATACAGCTGTAAACAGATCCGACAAAGTGCTCCAGAACTTGTATCATATTAAGATTATATTGTATACATCGTGATCTAAAGTATTTATTTAAATTAAAAAAAAAAACAATTTGTACCCCACATGTGTGAACCCATTGAATCCCATACATTATTGATCTACGATATAAGATATACACGTCCACCATATTTAGTGACAATGCTTTTGATAAATGAAGGTATATAGGACACAGGAACGAAGGTTGAGAGACAGGAGGAAGAGAGGAGTAGAGACTGGTGTTGACTCACCCTAGTTCAGCCACAGTCGAGGCAGAGGGGGCAGAATGGTTATCTTAAACTATTCATGTACTGTGTTGATGTTATTGTTTATGCTCCAAGTGTAGTTTAGTTCCTGTTTCATTTATGTTCATGTTGTATTTATGTGGCTGTTTTATATTTATGTTCCTGATGTAAATAAATCATATATTTACAAAACTGATCTCTGTTATCACTAAAATTGTGTTACACAGACGCTTGACGCGATCAGGACAATAGAATAATACATCCATTCAAAACTGTGGGCATATAAAAAGTGCGCTTACTGGTAATGTCTTCTGGGTAAGTCTTGCTGCATTATAACCTTCAATCAAACCATCATACTGGGATATAATATAACTAACATGGCGCCAGAAAGGATTTTTGGGGACGTTTTCTTTGATCATTTTTCTCATCCATTGATCTTGTTGGATAAAATATTTCTTTACTTTCACTTCAATAATTGGACCTCGTTCACCGGAGAAAAATATTCCACGTACATTCTGATAATGTTCTGCAATTCTCCTGAAAAATATATAAAAAATTATTAGATACAGCAGGAATATGTGAGATAAAGGCAACTTAGTTTGAAGTGAATAAATTCTAATAACAATGGTTTCAATAGTGTTCTACAGATTTTTCATTATATACAAAACAATTTGATAATTGTTACATTACATTTCCTAAATACTGAAAGGCTCCACCACAGATATTGGATGGTAACAATCTATACAATTACTAACTTACGAAGCTGTAAATCGACCTTCAAGGAACCCAGCAGCAAACATGATATCTTCATCTGCTGGCCGAGGATTGCCATTACCAGCCACGATATCTAATATACCCCAGCCATTTTCCATCAATGTATCATTGTAAGTTCCAAATGCCGTTGCTCCCTTCATATCAACTTGATTAGCTGTAAAGGTACAGGCCTTATTCTTACAATAGGCACTGCCATTCTGAAATGTTTCTCCTGTAAATACAAACAGTGTTGTCAAGCAATGAATATCCTGCACCAGCATTTTGAACCATCGATTTAAATTATTCAAGAAAAATATCTATAAAGGGCAACTCTGAACATCTATTTGTAATTCAGTGATCAATTTCAGCAAGATTTAAAAAAAAAACCACCTTCAAAATTGCTGAACCATAAAAATTTTACAGAATAATCGAATTTCTCTACTTGTATCATATCCAGATGGTTTAGTCTTGATTAATATTAATGGTTTGTTGAAAGTCTTGATATATTTGTTTTGGGAACAAGATAAAACAATTCCAATATCAGTGAAGCTCTATATGTCAAAACAAGGTTTAACTCAGCATTTTCAGCTGAAACACGATAAAACTTATATGAAATGGGATTTAATTAACGTCCTACTTTTCAACACCAACCGGATTAATAATGAAGATATAAATTTTGCCCATTCAGCAGTGCTAAGGTCTATTTTTAGTTCAAATTCTAACTGTCAAGGGTTCTTTCGCCTGCATGCATCTGTGGGCGTGTGGGCCTACGGCAACATATGGGATCTAATTGGTTTTAAACCGTCCTTGAAATTTTTCATATACCGGGTACCAGGTTTTAACGCAGGAGGCTTTAACTTCAGCTGTAGATATATTGACAAAGAAAGAGCAAATATTTTATATATAAAAAAAATAATGAATAAAATACACCATCCAATGATAGATTTCGATTTCGAAGATAATTTATCTCTCTGGTTTTTTTACTTTGAATTAATATATTATTTAACCCAATGTCAAACAGTTAAATATGCTGATGGAACTACCTCTACATGCCGTTAGAATCAATAATACTCCAATAATTAACAACATTTTAATTAATCTTAACATGTAATGACGCGTGAAATCATGAAAATAACTTATTTAATAACAGAGATCGACTGTTTTTACGCTTCCCTAGGTATCACGTGATACGTGGTGAAAATCACATGACTTGAAAATGTAGACTTGATCACAAAGATGGTAAGGGGAGAATTTTGTATCATTCGGAACACCTCTGTTAAAGGTTTGCAGAATGAATTTTGTATTAAAATCATAGACGTCCAAGATTAAAATTATCAGGCTGAGATCAAACATATGACAATATTTGGTCCAATATGGAGCTCTGTTTTAAGCGTAATGCTTTTGTAACGCAGTTAGCTATTGGTTGTTAATCGGACCATTGACCAGTCATAATTTGGAACAGAAATTTGCCTTCGTTAAAGCAGTGTTTAGTGGGATTAAAAGAAACACTGCGAGGAGTATGGACTCCAAACTGGAAGGGACGTGAGTGATGATTTGGTCATTTTGAGAATAAAAATGTTAAGCCTATTCGTCTTACTATTTTGGTTATTCATATTCTGCATGAACAGCGGTACTAGGCCTACTCCTCTTCCTAATTCCTTCTTAATAATTAACTTAAAGGAGCTAAATCGCTAATATTTGGGACCTACAAATTGACACAAATGGGTCGCAACGTATATAATAATGTAATATGAATGTATTTAAACTGATTTACATTCAATTGTTTCCGTTTTTATTCTAATTTCAAAGCACTTCTGTTCGGCGAAATACGCCAGAAGTCTAAACCGAATAACAATCTATAGCGTCTGATTATTACAGTCTACACCGATAGTATTTATTGTGCATGCTCTCGAGATAAGAATATTCAGTCACCGTTTGACATGACTTGTGGAATATGTATAACCTCGTTCTTCGAGTCGCTTGTTACAAATGCGCATTATGGTACACGATTCGAGTACCAATGGTAAAATGTTTATTTTGTCTTAAATATTGGACATCAGAAGTCCATCTTTTCCCGGTAAGATCACAACATCAATGTTGATTAAAATTGACAAATAATTCGTGTTTTCAATGTTGAAGGTTTTGGATGTCGAGTTAGAGACTTAGCTACTTTAAAACAAGTGCATTCGTTAATGCGTACCCGAATTGGAAAAGACCCAAACGATTTTAATCTGTCAAAGTCAGTTGAAAAGTATTTGTTACTAGCAACATTTATAATCAGAAAGATGTATTTCCTAGACAATCAAGATCCTAAATCAGTGGGGTGCAACAGTTCTCTCGGCACCCAGTGGAAAACCACCTTTTGTGCCCCACACGTGTCATAATTTCAACAACCTGTTTTAGTCAATATTGTTAAAGGAAATGAAATGAAATGGGGCATGTCCTACTGGTTTGCTCAACTGGGCTAATGAAGACATGCATAGCCTACGATATGCTATGAGGAAAATTTTGCCCAGACAGCTGCGCTATGTCCTACCCTTATTTCGAATTCCTACTGTCAAAATTCTTTTAAGTCCATGCCAATGTGCCAATGCAGGGATCGAACTGGGGACCTCCAGATTTGCGAGCCAACATCCTACCCACCGAGGCTTAATTGTTAAAGGAGCTAAACCTCTAACTTAATATTTTCCATAACATTCAAAATTTAAAACAGAAATTAGAATACAACTTTGGTCCATTTCAATCAATATTATTGTAGTTATCTTGCCGTCAAAATATAGGATACTAAAATCCAATATTTAAGACACAGTTAACATTTTATAATCAGTACACGAGTCATGTATTCTATGGTTTTAGGCACCATATGTAATGAACAAAGAAAAACATATTCTACAAGACAATGCAGAAGTAATTAGTAACGGCTGAATCACAAATGAGAAACTGAAAATAAAAAAATGTGTAGAATTAATAAGCAGGCATGAATGACCTTTATTTGTGCCTTCAAGTAGTATACTTTGGCCAAATTCTATAACAACCTCAGAAATGTTATATACCTTATACACAAGTTAGAATGTCACAATATCCATAACGTTTATGAGACAGAATATCAACAGTGTCAGCCCCCCAAAATGTTACAGATGGAAATCATATGAAGCAAGCTTAGTGGGGTGAAGGACGTCTTCTAAAAGAGGGCAACCGACAACTTGTCACTGATGTGTACGAATTTATTGCTAATATTCCCATGGAAAAATACCTGTGTGCTAAGCAATCATTATGTACCACCTGCTCATAATGTTACACTTCAATATGCACGATTGAAAAAAACCCGCATTGAGTGTTTATGACACATTCGAGCTAAGAGCTATAAGTAATCGTTAATCTTTGATACTGTTCATTCATGGTGATCGAAATATCAATAATTTCTAGGATGCAAGAGCGACAACTTCATAAATAATAGGAGAAAGGCAAGTTTTGAAATATTTCATCAACAACTTTTCTTTCTAAGGTGTTACAAAATGTAAACAGACCAACAGACAACAATATAACATCAAATTAAAATGTTGGGGTATGAAACATGACACAACTAAAATTCAAAGTATTTAATTCATCTTGTATAAAATTACACTGGATTTAAGTATACAATACATAACATCTTTTCAAAATTGAAAAATATATACCCCAAACTACCAAAATATTCAATTCATTATTTGCAGTAGATAATTATATGCATATTATATTATTTCATAATTTTCAAGTATATAATGGAATGATACAAGTGTACTACTTAATTTAATTTAAAATACATAAATTCAGTGGAAATACCCAATTTAAATTTTTAATTAATAAAAGATATTGTGAGTCAATTGAACTAGTGGATCACATTTAAATTATATTTAAATAGCAAATCATATTAAAATTCAACCTAAATAATGAGGTATATTGAAAATTCAACTTCAATAGTGAAGTTTTATAAAATTCAAACCATAAAGTTAAGAATACCGGTATTGAAATTCTACTGAAATTCCATTCAAACAACTAACTTAAAGATACATTGTCCCAAAAGTATTCATCAAAGTATGGCAAATTTGGTATATGGAAACTGTAGACACTGAATCTTACTAGAAAATACTGGATTATCTGAAAAACACCCATGGGGCAAGCACTGAGCAAAAATGTCAGGATATCACTAATTGGCAACCCGACTGTTGTCTGCCAGCTCATTGTGTTCTAGCTTGACTGAGAGAGCAGTTGTTATGTCTTGATCAAATAGTTAGGCGGTTTTGGGAATACTGAGAGGTGTCAACGTACAAAAACTCTGCAATTAAACATCGGAAAAAGTTGACAAAAAATAATTCAGAATTTACTTAGGCCTCAAATATGTATGTTAAATGGACAGTAAGTAATGAAAAATACATTCTGAAAAATGAACCCCCCTTCATGAATTAAGGTGACAGATATGGCGTCTACAAACAGTTTATTTATAGCTTAGGTAGCCCCACAGTGAATACAAAGTTTTGTGAGTTATTTGAAGCAAATTTTTGATAGATTAATTACTTAGAAAATGTTTTAAGTCTAAATATATTATTAAATCACACAGTTTGTACTCGGGGAAAGTATCTTTAAGTACCGTATATTGAAATTGCACTCAAATAGTTAACTTAAGCATACATAAATTTAATTCAAATAGTTAACTAAGTATACTAAAATTTAACTAAAATAGTTAAGGTATACTGAAATACAACTCAAATAGTTAACTTTAGCATACTGAAATGCAACACAAATAGTTCACTTACAGGACAAGGTTTTGGTGAATTTACCAGCAATACATATTTGCAATAATTTTTTTTAAAAACCCTGTCACATGTAGACAGATGAACTGACTGGCCATTTGACAGTGTTGACAACAATATATTTCCACATAAAATGTGGGCATATATTAAAACCATAACAACAACAAAAATACATGAAGATGCCAAACCCCTGAGCATATATATATATATGAAAAATCATAAACATCTGACAAATTCTAATCTATATGCTTCATTATTTAATGAAACTAAAGAACAATATGACCTAAATTGGAAGAGATTTTAATATTTGTGGCACACTTTTGGCATATTCAAATAGATATATTGCAGATGGAAATTGGAAGCAGGGTTCTCATATATCACAGGTGGCTGACAAGAAAAGTGTGTCTATTAGTTTGGATAGGACAATAAAAAAACACGGTCCAATAGTGTTCCTCCTTTATTGCACATAAAATATTAGTGAATATTAATTTTTCCATCTAGAACTGGTAGAGATAAAGGAGGGGGGTGCCAATATCATATTGTAACATCCATTAATTCTTCCATCTAGGACTGGTAGATATAAATGGGAAGTTATAAACATTAGGAAGACCTGTGTGAGATACATTAAATGTTGGTGTCCATTTAAATGGTGGTAAACCATCACCAAGTGTAGGGCCATTAACAATATCAGCTTCTAAATTTAAAGCCATATTAAAATCCGCCACCTGAAAAAAGGGAAAGCATATTTGTTTTAATGTCAGCAAGAAATATCAGATTCCAAAGAGAAATGGAAAAACATAAATTAATTGTACTGATAATCTAAAGCCGCTGAGGGATCTCTTACAATATCAGTCCAAAAATCCTTTAATTCCATTCAGTATTTTCAAAGTTATGATGAATTGAACATTTCACAACATTCAGTATGCTCTGCAGATGATATAAATAATACCAGTGTTGGGTAAAACTTTTGACAGCCTCCTTTTAATCCATTTGAATCCAAGATGGCCGATAACCTATCTTTGTTGGGTTTTTTAAATAACATTTTAGGCCAGATTTAAAGCCTTAAAAAATTAGATATTATCCAAAACATGCACAATCTAACTTCTGTGACTTTGATAGGCATTTAGTAATTGAACATATTAACACAAGGTACAATTTAATGGATACAAAATTACTGAGTTTAATACTAAGTGACGTTTCGACGAGGATACTCTTGTCTTTGTCAAGCAAAGGATACCAATATGTGAATAGTAGACAAATGCATTACAGGACAGTTTTAGTTTAAAATTAGTTTAAACTTAATTTATTGCATCATCATTACATTTTACAATACAAATGGGTTAGACAAAAGTCCTAAGGACTAAAAAAGATCTTCTCCTTATATAAGAACAGTATAAGTCATAGCTTTGATGTCTTCTTCATAATATCATAATGATCATTATATTTTGTTTTGAAGAATATCTGTTATTAAGAAACAACTTTTGCAAATATAGACATGTATCAAAATAGTTAGCTTTCAATTTGTTTATCTTACCTTTGTATCATAGCAACCATCAGCTCTAGGTGATTTTGCATCTAGGTCGCCACGGCAACAGATCGTGTTACATGGGTTATCTTCACTATATTTATCTTTTTTATAATCTGTAATAATTAAAATAGATCAGTTTTTTTTTAGATGTGGGAGATATATGAAGTAATGAAAGTTTTGATGTCTTCAACTGAATTTGAATGATCTTAATCTCCAGGAAGTTTAACACAATGACTTTTTATATGTCTGCTTTTTATGTGTGATTAAATGTGACCCATGACAACAAAATGAGTCGAAAGTCACTGTTTCACAATATGATCAAAAATGTTGAAAATTTATTTGCTTTTTTGAGTTTTCTTTATTTGTTAAATCTAGGGAGCTCCAGTGAGTATGAAGCTGGCTTGCTAACCAGGAGAACCAGGGTACAATCAAATTGAGTATGGAGGACCAGAGTTTGATCCCAGAGTTGGCCAAGAGAGTTCCCCAAAATTTGCCATTCTGGGTTCCTGGTAAGGAAAATAGCCAAGCATTTCAGATAGGACAAAAACCATAATTTCTGTGTATATTACTGGCAGCTAAAAATCAAAATAAGGGTAGGTCGGTGACCTGTTGGCTGTTGCTCGAGTAGAATTTCGCTCACAGCACACCGTCTGGCTCATATTCACCAGACTGAATTATGCAGAAATTGAAGAAGTTTTTATATTTCGATAAAATAAAATTCTTACCATTATATCTCATGATGTTCTTAAAAGATGTTAAATCTACAACCTTTCCTTCATCTCTACGGAATATTTTAGCTCTTGGTGCCAGCTGATATGTTGAATCTAGACCATGTTGGGCAGAAAATTCAGGATAGCCACTCATATTATAAATTTCTTCAAAAAATGGTACATTGTAAGATGGCCAATAACCTGTAATAAGTTAATATATTAAGAACTTTTTATCAAAAAATAATAGACCATGAAATCTTTCAGAATCATCACAAGGGAAAGAAAAAATGTCAAAATTTTGAGGAATCACAAGGAACTATAGTGGTTTTTATGTGGTAAATGTTGTTTAAGTCAAATGAATCAATGTAATTCCACCAACACCGTGATGTTAAAACAGAGATCATTGTATTTAGCAGTGAACGTTTTAAAATGGAGAATAAATATAGTAATAATCCAAATAAATTGAAATCTTTATAAATTTTATTAACTTACCAGCTCGTAATATTTGTGTCTCGTCACCAGATGCTACTAATGTCGGTATCTGTTCTACTACCCATAATGCATTATCTCTTATTTCTTTACCCAGAGTTATTTGCTTTAGATCAATTACCATATACTGATTATTATAGGTCCCTAAAATATTAATAACATAAATAGTAGGTTCCCATTAATCAGGGATAACGTCCTATCCTGTTTAATGCACATCAGTTGTCACTGTAACAGGGGGATATCACAGCATAGTTTCCTCACCCTGCATAACACCCAAAATGTATTTTTTGTAGGACCTAACTATGACAACCATTTTAAATATTTTGTAAACATTTTAATATGACTTCCTTGAAATTGGGGAGCCACGGCGACTCAGTGAGTAAGACACTGGCTCACAATTAAAGCAGGAGGTCCTGATTTCGTTTCTGATGTTGGCCAAGGAAGTTACACAGGATTAACCTAAATGGTTTTCCTTTGTCAATGCCACAGTAGTGCAGGATGGAGGTCCTGGCACTGAAAAAGAATACAGTTGTTCGAAATGAGACAAAACACCAAGGTCACGTGTCGACACGAGCATGCATGTAAATCAACTCTTGCCAGTTGGAATTTTTCATTACGACATTAGCCCGGTTGTTTGAGAAATAAAGACATTAAACCCCCATTTCATTTAATTTGTACACATTTTGATATATAGTTCTGAAATCATAAAGCCATGTTTAAGATGCAAGTAATCATATAACAATTTATTTTAAAAATCCTGGCAGAGGCCTAAAATTTCACAATTAAATAAAGAATCTCACCCGAGTTATATGTAGCCAGTATATCTGCCCATTCTTTACCCGTGTTAGCTAACATATTAGCTACTCTAACACGATGCCATGCCAACAGGTTATTGGGTGTACAAGATTTATATAATGTTGAATTAAATACATTGTTAGTTGTCTGCAACATAACCATTTTACTTCCTAGTAAGTAAAAATCGTCCAGTGACTCCAAAAATCCTACAAAAAAAACCAAAACGATCTTGATAGATAAGTAATAATAGAAAAAGGGGATACAATAACAAATGAAAGGGGTGTACAATAACAAATCAAATGGGAGTAAAATAACAAATCAAAGAAGATATAATAACAAATCAAAGATAATGAACAAATGATGAAGAACTTAACAAGAAAACATCAACAGAACGAACAATACATGTACTGAACTTCGAGTTGCACATTCTTAAATAACAATTAAAACTGAATTGAGAAAAACCAACAGATTTTTTAAGGAAAATTTACACTTTATTTTAAATTCTAATCTGTTAAGTTTGTTATGTACAATCTAAATTGAATGGCAGTCAGTGGGAATTGTTTAGTTAAAATTTATACCTGTTTTATATCTTGAATTTCTAATTTCTGAATTATCAGTAGTGTAAGGGTTATGGCTCCTTTCCTGACAACTACAATAATTTGTGGTGAATAACCACTATCAAAAGTTATGTGATTATATGTAAATAATTATATTATAATTACCTGGATAACTAGCGAATGAGATGCGTCGAGCAGATGTCGATTTATCACTGACATTAAAATTATAATGTTTAAATATTCTAGATGTAGCCGAATACGCAAACCAACTCGAGTGAGACATAAAAATATCTTCATAAGCTCCCAATACCTACACAATATACAGAACAATACATTATAGGATTTACCAAAAATTACAAATCATCTGGTCAAATTTCAACTTCAGAGAAATAAAGAGAGAAATGGGGTTTAAAGTTCACGCGACACAGACTGGTTCAATTTTAATGCAATAATTGACCTGCTCATACGGGTCATTGAATGGAAGGAAACGAGAGGACCAGGATAAGATTCACAAGGTTAGACAGAAGACCTACTCAATTTCATGTCAAAGTGCAATCCAAACCCCGTTACTTGACCCAATGACAGATCTTATCATCAAAAGTGCACATGTTAGACCATTCGGCCACTCAACCACCCAAATTTCAAGGAAACAAAATGAAATCGGGTTTATCATCCTGGTTTTCTGCACCAATTGTGCTAATATAAACAGGTATACGCCATCAGTCAGCTATGAGGGTAACTTTGCCCTGACAGTAGTATTTCCACCTACTCTTCGTCAAATTCTAAATGCCAAGGATTCCTTTAACGCGCATGCTAACAGATCTCTTTTTTCATCCCATGAGAAGGACTAGAACCAAAATATTTGTACGAGCTTTTTAAAATTTAATTTCCAAATAAATGAAATAGATAGATGTAATAGAGCATCAACAACCCAGGCTGGTCATAGTGCAATTTAGTCAGGCATTTGTGTAAATTTATCCAAAGCTGTTTCTTCTTGATTGCTACAAGGGAGGTAACTACACTTTACCTTCACCATTGCTGAACAATGTCCACTCTCTTGTGCATAAATCATGGCCTGTTCTTTAGTCATTTTCCTCCAATCTGGTATACTTTGTGGATCAACAACTCTGACCAAATCAATCAAATCACCAACACCATTTAATACTTGGAATGCATAAGTTTCTAAAGCCTATAAAATAGTCAAAATTAATACGTTTCCATAAATGCTTTAATAAATTGCACAAACTAAATAAAGTCAACTAGCTTTTGTCGGAAAGAAGTCTGCCTCCATCTGCATGGTTAACGATTTAGGCAAATTATGTTTTTTAAAATATGGTCCTTTTTTGCATCGCTTGGGACTAAAAGTTGATTTATACTCCACTAAGCAAAGCGAAGAATTGTCTTCGCATACCTTCATACATTTCTAGGCCTGTTTTTTTTTATCTGAACATGAACACCTTATTGAAGTATATCGAAGACTGACAATGACATTCAGATTATCTAAATCAAATCACATCTGGTCTCTTGTAGTTTTTTAATAAAGATGTGCCAATTGTACATTATTCATAGAAGATAGAGGTCATGTGATTATTTCATAGAAATATACATGTGTGATAGTGTACTGGTAATCTGTATTCAGTAATAAACTGATACAACACACTGCCCTTTGATAGACATGAACAGATATAAATGAAATTGGGTTTAACATCCTACTTTTCTGAACCGACTGGACTAATGCAGACAGGCTTAGGTCATATGACTAGAACCACTGCCCTTGCCAGGCCCTCTGTCCTGCACCACTGACAAAGGGAAACGGAACAGGACACCACATTGGAAAATGCTCAGGAACTTTTACGAACAACATCGGGAGCGAACCCTTGACCTCCTGGTTCACGAACCAGTGTCTTACTAACGCAATAACTGAGCTCCCCAAGAACTAATATAAAATCTTTTTTTATATCAAGCAACAACTAAAATATGAATCCATTAAGCAGTTCCATGAATTTATGATGGACCCCGAAGTCCTATGGTTACTACTAATGAAATAGAGCATTTTCTTTTGTTTAGATACGAATGATGCAAGCAGTCATATCGATCTTCTACTGTGGCATTTGATCCCAATTTGTGCTGCCACTTTTTGTCGGAACAATCCAGTTCAAGTAAAATATTCTGCCTCCTAGATAATAGGCTTTAATGAATGTTATTCAAATCTTAGGTTAGCCATGGTGTAGTTTTCCAATAGTCTCCCACTCAAAATATTTTGAATATCACAAAAAAAAACCTGAAAGAAAATGCTGAATCCGGAGAGAAAACTTGACATAGGCCTTTCGGGATGAGCTGCCTCTGGTGGCCAATCCTTTATCATATTAAAATAATTTGAAATCTATAACAAATAAGATTTGGTGTGCTTACAGGTAATGTCTTCTGGGTAAGTCTTGCTGCATTATAACCTTCAATCAAACCATCATACTGGGATATAATATAACTAACATGGCGCCACAGAGGATTTTTGGGGACGTTTTCTTCGATCATTTTTCTCATCCATTGATCCTGTTGGATAAAATATTTCTTTACTTTCACTTCAATAATTGGACTTCGTTCACCAGAGAAAAATATTCCACGTACATTCTGATAATGTTCTGCAATTCTCCTGAAAAATATATAAAAAATTATTAGATAGAAACCATCAAAAAAGTCACCGATTCGTATTTGAAGACAAATAATTAAATCTTTTGTCTCTTAATTAGTTTCTTACCACTCTTACTGTAATTATTTATCAACAGTAATCAGAGATTAATTTTATAGACAAAAGATAGCCCTATTATTGATACCTAATTGATTGATACTTGAAAGAGTCAAGCACAATAAACTGTAATGGACTGAAAATCAAAGCTTTGTGGTAAGACAAAATTTATTGCCACAGCGAAAAGAATCGCCACACAGGAAAAGGCTATCGCCAAAGAATTTCCCCACATTATATATTTTATCGCCAAAATTATATTTTTATCGCAATTGGCGATCGACAGTGTGATTTATTTATAGGTAAAAGGGTGGTTAATCGATACAGCAGAATTATTTATAGGTAAAAGGGTTGTTACTGATTAACTACGGTTATACTTATAGTTCTTTTTTTAGACACCCACATATACAATATTGTCATCAATTTCGTAAGGTTTGTTTGACAACTCTTCCAGGTGAGCATGGTCCTGATTTACGCAGGACGCCTACCTGTTCATTTAGTAAGTGACACTGTTCAATATAATGTGGTGCCCATGTACAGTAGGCAAACTTCAAAACTTCAATCAAGACACCACATTTACATATTACAAGTATCACATGATACCACATGACGAGAGATACTTGTCAAAAATAGGTTCTTATTAAATATGCCTTATACTTTCTAACTCTAAATCTAATTACAATGTAAATATTATCAAAGCTTTTATTCAGAGTTGACTCCAAATTGGACTTTTTTATTTATAACAGAGTTAGTTTGAAGATTTTCAAGCAACTTTGTCAAGCAACGGAAAGGAGACAAGTCGCTAACTCAATATCACCCACAAAACACAACTTATTGGTCAGTCTAAATCAACATTGATGTTGTTATCTTACCATGAAAAGATGAGCTTCTGATAACGAATATTTAAGACAAAATGAAAATTTTAAAATTGGTACATGAATTGCATGCTAGAATGATTTTGAGCACCATTTGTAATGAAGTGACTTGATGAATGAGGCTAAACATATCGCACAGTATAATATAAATCAGTTTACATTCATAATACATTATTACATGCACTGCAACCCATTTGTGTCCATTTCTATAAGGGCCAAAGAATAGAGATTTAGCTGCGATAACCATGGGTTCTTTAGCTTTCTACAGATACAGGATGGTGGCAATCTACTGATACAACAAACTTACGAAGCTGTAAATCGACCTTCAAGGAAACCGGTAGCAAACATGATATCTTCATCTGCTGGCTGAGGATTCCCATTACCAGCCACGATATCTAATATACCCCAGCCATTTTCCATCAATGTATCATTGTAAGTTCCGAATGCAGTTGCTCCCTTCATATCAACTTGATTAGCTGTAAAGGTACAGGCCTTATTCTTACAATAGGCACTGCCATTCTGAAACGTTTCTCCTGCAAATACAAACATAATGTTGCCAAGCAATGAATATACATCCCTTCATATATATCAGGTTTTAAAGTAGCTAACTCAATATTTTCCATAATATTTGAAATTAGAAATGAAATGAAATGAAATGGGGTTTAACGTCCTACTGTTCTGCTCCTATGCTGGGCTAATGAAGACGGGCATACGCCATACAGCGTGCTATGAGGGAAATTTTGCCCGGGCAGCGGCACTATCGCCTACTCTTATATCGAATTCCAACTGCCAAGGCATCTTTTACGTGCATTCCAATGTATACACGAGACCTCGGTTTTTCGTCTCATCCAAAGGACTAGACAGCTGTCCTTGTCAGGCCCTCCGTCCTGCATCACTGACAAGGGGGAACCGCGCCGGAAAATCTGGATGAACTTTCTCGGCCAATGCAGGAATCGAACACCCGACCTCCAGGCTAGCGAGCCAGCATCTTGCCCACTTAGCCACATGATTCCCTATATGAAATTAAAAAACTTGAATTAGAATTCAATATTGGTCCATTTCAATCTATATTGATGTTGTTATCTTGCCGTGAAGATATGGGAACCTACATGTATTATCAAACATTTAAGACACAAGAACATTTTATAATCATTAAACTAAACATGTCCTACAAGACAATGTGGCAGTAATTACTTAAATTAGTAATGGGCTAAAGGCTGATTCAAAAATGACAAAAAAATTATAATAAAATGTGTAGAATGGACTCATTGTTTCAATGGCATTTAGTAAATTGAACTGGAGTATGGGCTTCTGGTATCCAATATTTAGGACAAAATAAACAGTTTCAGAAAAAATATAAAATAAAAATACACCATACATTATTATTTTCAGAAAAAATATAAAATAAAAATACACCATACATTATATTCAATATTAGTAATATTACATAAATTGAATGACAATTACATTTATAACCCAGTGGGCAGTGACCAACAGTTGAATAATACTAATAAATAAATCTGCTGATTGAACCTACCTCTACATGACGGGAGAATCAATAATACACCAATTATCAACAACATTTTAATTAATCTTAACAAGTAATGACGCGTGAAATGATCAAAATATAACCAAGATTAACTATTTTTATTTTTACGCTCCCCTCTAGGTATCACGTGATACACGGTGAAAATCACATGACTTGAACATGTAGACATGATCACAAAGACATTACCAATCCTTTCACAGCGGCAATGCGAAGCCGAAAGCTATCTTCATTCAATTAGCCCAGTCGGGGCACTTGGGCAGAGCAGTGTAGGACGTTAAACCCCATTTAATTTAATTTCATTTCTTTCAACTGTGTTGTAGAAGATGATAGGCCTTTAAATTTACGAGCAGTACTGGTCTACGTGTGACGTCACATCATACCATCTCCATGGCACATCGGGCGTAGGCCTACTACTACTAGTACTAGGTAGCAACCGAGCGGAATTTCTCACCCGTATTCCAGTACTCGGACTCGAGATCTAGGTAGCACGATTTATCCAAATCCACCATTATTTCAACTCATAAAGAACGGTATATTATCAAAATATCGATATAAATTATTGTCTTGTAAGTTGAAATAATGGTAGAATTTCTAATTTTTATTATCACTTTATATAGGCCTATATTTATCAAGTATTTTTTCTTGGCATTTTTTCTTTCCTGTGTTGTGTCTATGAACTTTTCAGTGTAATTTTCAAAAATGGAAATGCTTAATTGAAAGAGGATTGAGTGAAGCTATAATTGAGTAGATATGAATACTGCCGAAAAACAGTTGATGAGTGCCGATCTAGTTAATAAACGATTCCTGGCCCAATCTTAAGATCCAGTTCGCTATGCCGTTGAGTCAATGTATCAAAAATAACGACATGTTCTGTAGGTTGTAGTTTTTCTAGACCAACCGGGATGGGTACACGGGACATCGGTTATCGTTCACTGTGTCTTAAATATTGGATATCGGAAGCCCATCTTTTCACGTTAAGGTAACAACATCAATGTGGATTTAAATTGACCAATAAGTCGTGTTTGCAATGTCGAAGACTGAATGAAATTCTGTTAAAGACTTGGCTACTTTAAACCCTTTTCATATCTACGTTTCTTTTTGTTTTTCGCTGTGAATCAAGCTGCGTGTCGCGGTTTGACACGGTTCCTAGTTTGGATTGGCACTTTTCTTTTTTAACTTACAAAGTAGGCCTTACTTATAAGCGACCGTATAAATGACACTTGAAATCAACGGGTAGCTCTACAGTAATCATTATTGTATACAAATAATAAACAGTGGGGTTGTTGCAAAGCACCCCATCACGATATATTTACTATGTGGTGTGGTGGGCGGTAGAACATGCCCCCACCCCACCCCCATTCCTACAAAATTTTGTGTTTATTATTGACCATAGAATGATAAATGTTTGGTTCCTTAAACCAAATTTCATTTCATTTCGTTCCCTCCACACCGGAAGGATGTTTCTGCTGATAGCGAGGAATGGAAATGTAAACAATTCAAATTCAAATAGCACAAACGATTCAAAATCACATGTGGGCTTACAACGACCACCATACATATACCTTTACTTGGTTTTACTCGTAAGCTTCTAACCCACACTGATCAGCAGTGACTATTCGCTTGGGCTGAGAGGGATGACATCGGTGCGGGTTAATTAGCTTACAATATTAACTTTATTCCTTCTGAAAATTAAATTCTAGAATTTTTTTTTTTTTGAAGGATTAGAAAAATAAATAAAGATGTTTGAAGCATATATGGATAAAAAATATTTCTATTTAGTGTAAATGGGTATATAAAATGAGTAAAAGACACCATTCTGCCCCGGCCAGTTCACGTTATGTAAACATTGCACGCGCTATCGAGCCAATCATCGACGCAATGTCACACATATAATGCATATGAATTTTATAAAGGTCTGTCATCTTACACAGAGGTACAAGAATAGGGACTTCGCAAGACCTCTGTGCAACAGATTGCTTCTAACCCACAGTCGTCTTATTTGGTGCTTCTGCGGCCTAATACGCAGCTATACTTAACCCAACTGAGGCTCCATTACAAAATCTTGGCCCAAACCGCGCCAAGTCTGGTACCGAAACGAACCGCAACACACCCAGCACTAAAAAAAAAAAAAAAAAAAAAAAGGCACAGAGACATCATCTTTGATCGTCATTATTCTAAGCTTTATACGAGTCTAACACCAATGCAAGTACCTGTCCTATTCATGTCGTTGAAAATATAAAAGTTTTAATTTATTTTAAAATGTTTTGACTGAGTTTCCCATGAATAGGGATCTATTTGGTTTCTGATCACACCCAAAGTCAACACATAATCTACATAATGATCACGGAATATATAAAAGACTTCATATTTTATTCATTGATTCACTGCTTACTTTATTGCATAATATTCACACTTTATGTACGTCAATATCGTTGATATTATATTTCTTTTCTTAATTAAAGGAGCTAAACCTCTTAAGTCAAAGTTATCCATAATATTTGAAATTAAAAACACGTTTATTTCAGCAGTATTGTTACTGTATATAACTACCGCGTTCTGAAATAATACAACGAAATGGGGTTAAACGTTCTACGAACAGGCCAATGAAGACGGACATAGACCATACCGGCTACCTTTTACATTAAATAATATCAACTGTCAATGTTTGTTTTATATACACACCAACGCGTACACGATTAGACCTCGGTTTATCGTTCTTTCGAAGTCAGCTTACGCTTATTTCGATTTCCGACTGACTCACATACTGTGCTGCCAAAGTTATACGCTTTTTTCTTAGTCCCGAAATGACCTAATTTGTGTCGATTGGACGTTAAACCCCATTTCTCTCTCTCTCTATATGCTTTTTTCATTGTCGGAAAAATTGAATCCAGGCTTGAAAATCAAGTGGGACTTTCTTGGTCAACAGTGCCATACGTGTTGAATTGTCGTGGCTACCAGAAAAATGAAATGGAATGGGGCTTAATGTCCTGCTGTTCTGCATCTCAGCCCCCCCCCCCCCCCTCTGCAAAAAGTTTCGCCCCCCCCCCCCCTGTGAAAAAACTGTCGACCATAAAACCCCATAGATATCTAGTGTCCGTCGATTTTACAGCACCCCTGAGAACACTTCCCGCCCCGTCGTTGCTCTGAGCTAGTTACGGCCCTGCTGCATCTCCTGGACTAATGATGACGGGCAAACGCCATACATGGAAATTTTGACCGGACAGTGGCACTACGGCCTACCCTTATTTCGACATCCAAATGCCAAGGGTTCTTTTACGTGCACACTAATTTGTACACGGGGCCTCGTTTTTTGTACTTTCCAAACAACTAGTTGCTATTTCTTGTCATGCCAACCGCCCTGCAACAATGACAAAATACCTTTAAAAAGCGAAATTGATTCTAAAAATGGTCATTGTGTTGACCAGCTGCAGTCTATACAATTTCGTATTTAATCTTAAAAAGTCAAACGATTCTCCGTCAAAAGAACAAAGTCGAAGTTTACTGAAATACGACGTCATACCACCAAAAGAGCCAAGTTAGAGCTGTGGGCCCATAGTAAGTATACACTGTCGTGTAAAGCGTGAATTATATGTGTACGCAGCGAGAAAAATATCATACGTACAGGAGAAAATCGTTAAAAACATGTTGGAGTGACGACGCCACACAATAAGTACACATGGAATAACCCCAACATGTTTTTGTTAGATACACATAACACATCGCCCACAAGATAAATATGAAAGCCTATAGCTTAACATGGATGGATAAGCGAGGACGTTGCCGTATAGAGGGAGACAATAAGCAACTATAGTAACGACGCAAACAGTGGTAGACCCTTTGTAATAATTAAATTATTTAATTTATTGTAAGCTTACTATGCAATATCACACGTTCCGATAAAAATTGGATCTTTAACATATTTCATTAAGCATTTAGTGCCTGGAAAGAAATTGCGTCTAGTCGTTCGCATGGGACGAAAAACAAGTTTCTGGTGCACATAACAATACGTTGACCGTTGAAATTAAATTGCGACCCTGCCACAATAACCCGAACAACACACTGTACAATATATGTTGTATGTCCGTCATCATTACCCCGGTTGGTGGAGAAAAGTAGGACTTTAAACCCCAGTTTATTCATTCATTCATTATATTTATATATTTACATTTGTCTTTACTGACAAAGTAATATGATACCGTTATCCAACATGTTGACTACATATGTTATGACTTACTTTAGTTTTAAAACTACGCAGACACCCCACCCACTATAACTTTAAACCCAAAACTATAAAGCACTATATATGACACGCAAACGAGTCCCACCTACATTTAAAAAGACCCAATATAACTGAAATATGTTCCTGCTTACTGTAATAGGATGTGAGTTGGGTGGGACGATTTAGATATAATCTACAATGGAATTTATACCATATATGGATATTTCTTCATTTCCGAAAAATACAGATATACATATACGATAAAGGATATCAAAGATACATTAGTAAAAAAAATAGATAATGGAGAGGGAATATGTTAAAAATTTCAGTCAAATTACTTCATTCTTCGCGCAGTTGTTGCCATAAGAAGAACAGTGCAGTCTCGATTGTCTTTGCTACCGTTGTTACGATTGATAATAAACAGAATCTCTATTATCCATTTTTTAATTAAATCATTGACTATAGCAATCGCGTTTGAATCCGTTGAAAAACAAAAGCATCTGATTTTACAAAGTGTTGATTTTACTCAGTGGTTCTCAATCATTTTGCTAACGACACACCTTGGAATTGGAACACATAAAAAATAGGGGCACACCTGGCTAAATATATATGAAAAATATTTGAATTTTGCAAAATAAAAACATTGCAAGGCATAAACGGCATACAACCGTAGACACAGACTAGTCATATATATACACATAGAATGGCTCAAACTAAATAACGAAAAAACACAGCTATGAACTTACTTTATTGCAGTGTTTCGAATTTCATCATTCAAATAGCTGGCTTCTTTAGTGAGAAATTTTCTTGGTGTGCCGTTCAAAATTTCGCGGCACACTTAAGAAGATCTCACGGCACACTAGTGTGCTGCGGCACACTGGTTGAGAATCACTGGTCTAACTAATAACATTTGAT